CCCATTAGCGCACCTTTTTTCGCGTTTTAAAAAAAGCTCTAAAAGCTAAGATTAACCAATTTCTATTCCAAAAGTTGTTTTTCTAGGTAATTTGAGGGCGTAGAATCGAAATTTTGGCATATCAGAGCTTGCGGAAGCGAACGGACGCAGTTATACAAAGAGAAAAATCGAATTTGAATTTCTGTAATTTGATCTAGCCGCTTTGTCTTTCAAATTGGTTCCACAAGCTCTGTTATGTCAAAATTTGAATTCGACACCCGCAAATTACCTAGAAAAACAACATTTGGAATAGAAATTGATTTGGAATAGATATTAGCTTTTTAGAGCTTTCTTTAAAACGCGAAAAAAGGTGCGCTAATGGGCAAGGTGCGCAAATGTCCGGGTGCGCGAAAAAAAAGGTCGCATTTGTCCCACTCTCCTAACATCAACTCAACTTCTAATTTAGCATATCACTTTGTTTTTTTTTTTCTTTTTATTGTTTTGATTTTAAACTTTTCGCAAGATGTCGTTCGCGGAAGCGAACGGACGGAGTTATACAAAGAGAAAAATCAACAATTTTCTGTAATTTGACCTAGCCGTTTTGTCTTTCAAATTGGTATGTCCACGACGAAGCGATCGAACAGTATGTCCTCGACGAAAGCGTTTTCTAAACCTTGTCATTTCCCCGATCACCATAACCTCCTAGTTCTTGTCAATATAAATTTTGGAATGATTTTGTAAGAATTCATAAAGAATATCAAAAGATCAAAAAAGTAGATTGATTGGATAAAAATAGAGACAAGATTACGATAGAAAGAAAAAGCGGACAAAGCTTAGACAGCTTAGAAAACGCAGCAATTGAAATTTCAGTGCAATCAACGCTTTGTCAAAGCTTTACACCGATGAGCTCTATCAGTACGCGCCACTGCCACCTCGTTCTCGTTCGAAAATCGGTCACAATGCAGAAGTCCGTGAATAAATTTTGATAGTACTTCATCAACGCATCAATGTACAGCTACCTCTTCTGCTCGCTAAGCCCCGTAGCTTTTTGGTAACAGGCTTCAAAATTTGTGGTCAAAATAATGCCTGGCAGACGCGTAAGTGAAACTGTACTATGGCACTACTGCACAGTACTATGGTCAAAATTTTTCAAATTTGGTTTATTAACAATTTGGTTGGGTCAGTTAATAGGCCGGCTGAGTACAGCTACTTAGTACAGTACAATTAGTTGAACTACAGTGTACTATGGTTCTAATAATAGAGCTATTAGAGTGCAATCTTCTACCTTGAAACTATAGTTCTATGTATCTACCGTAAATACTGTAATTGAACCCCACCCCTCTAATAGTACCCCTCTAACAATTTGGTTTGGGTCAGTTCATAAGCCGGCTCAGCTCCTGTACTTTAGTAGAACAACAGTGTACTATGGTTCTAATAATAGAGCTATTAGAGTGCAATCTTGTATCTTGAAACTACATTTCTATGTATCTATGTATGATTTTTCAATAGTTTCCTTTTTGTGAAAATGTTTAGTGTCAAATTTTCGTCAGCGACAAAGACACTTGCTATAAAAGATACTTAGTCAAAGTAACGTCAAAGTGAATGATGTTTTTGTCGTAAAACAATTCATTTAATATTCATTTAATATTCAATTTTAAAATAAAAAAAAAAAACAAAATAATAATATTAATCTTCATTTAATATTCATTCGATAATTCAAATTTAGAGAAATACCAAGTGAAAGACAGTAAAAGAATTTGTTTGTTGATCCATTAGCATCCAAAAGCTAATCCATTTTTTCATCAATTTAAATTCATTTTTTATCAATTTAATTCATTTTTCATCAAGTTACAATTCATTTTCCATCAGGAGTTAAATTCATTTTTCACGTCTTTTATTGAGAGTTTGACTGGTGAGGTTTAGAGAGAAAGGCCAAAAAAAGAGAAAAACAAACTCTTAGTTGTGTCAATGTTGATTTAGGGATAGGGCCTGGGGGTACACACACACACACACACACACAAAACCTTCCTTAGATACCCACGAAGTTACGCTTGGATGCTTCGAATTCTGTAGAATTCCTAAATTCTCAAATTCCCATCTATCTATCTATCTATCTAAAGTTACATGTTTAATCGAATCTATAAATTTTCCTTCAATTTCTTGAAATGTTCTTCAATTTGTTACATTATTGGAGTCAAAAAATTGGAATATTAGACTCTGGGTTGGTTTTGGGTTTAAAACGTCTTGTCCAACATCTTGTCCAACATCTTGTCCAACATCTTGTCCAACATCTTGTCCAACATCTTCTCAAACATCTTGTCCAACATCACCTCTATTGAGTGCGGCGGAAAGTTTTGAACCCAGTAATTTCCAGTTTTGTACACTACTCCCCCACCCGCAGCACTGGCTTTCAATACCTGATTAAAGGGTTAACAGTACCTAGTCCTAATCCCTGACCATTCCCACTTCTTCCCCGTCACCTCATCAAGAGGTCGCGGTATCGTTGAGATGATTAGGAGAGGACACGTCTCTCAAGATGACAGTGAAGAGGAGAAGATCACCGGTTCCGTGTCCTTTTCCTTTCCCTTCCCTTTCCCTTCCTTTCCTTTCCCTTTTGCCATTCCGAATCAATGTTTGCCTATTTGTCCCCTTTTTGTCAATCTTTTTGATTCGTTCCGATCTTTTTCTTCTTTCTTTTTCTTTTGCCGAAGGTGTTCACAGGTCCTACTTCTGTCACTTCCCGGTTGTCTTTCTGGGGGAGAGTTCTGTCGGATAGCTGAATATCTTATCTTTATTGAGTAATAAGATACTCTATATTTGTATACTGTAGCAAGTATTTAGATTCAGTCAAAGCAAGTCAAAGCAATATTCAAAGCCTTGGATATCTTTGAATTACTGTCACCTCCATTGCTTTTACAGTAAGCCGAGATTTTTTCGAATTTAGTATTCAGGAAGAATGATATCCAATTGAGTATCTTTTTCCGGAATACTGTATTGAGGAAATAGACAGGATTGTAGTAAAAATTATTTTAAAAAAAAATAAAAATAATGAAAAACTTAACATTTTTAACATTGAATTTAAAATATTCATTCCAATGTGATCTTGTCCATTTCAATCTCTTATTCAAATCATCTAAAAAGTCATTTATTTCAAAAATTCTGTTTTGACAACTTTGAATCGAATCCTGTTTTTTCACTAGCTGTTTTCTAGCAAAGCAAAGCAAAAAAAGAAAAGCACTGTGCTCACTTCGGGTCTAGACATTTTCATCAAATCCTCAAAGCAAAATAAATAGCAATATTTGCCTTGTTTACAATATTGAAAAACCTGCAAAAGTCCCAATTTGAAAAGCATACATTTGCTTAGTTTTGGTAAAATCTTATTATTAAAATCTATTAATCTATTAAAAGATACATTTGCTTGTAGAAATACCGGAGTAGTATACCCACAGTGTACATTCCAAAGCCTAAGCCTAATACCGGAGTATTTCTACAGGCTGCAAGCTTTTCCATCTAGCTGAATTTCCCCTGATGCTCTATTGCCTATCTTATTCCATATTCTCAAAATTCTCCATTTCCACCAAATAATCCATGAAGTCCGTGTTAGGCTACCGATTTGACGATTCGGGAGGGGACTGGCGCGGAAAAGCGGCTCTCCCGAAAAGGCTTCACCAGGCCAGGTCTATTTTGGCCTTTTTTTGGTCTGTTTTTGGTCTATGGATCCTTTCGACTCCTTGTCGGGAATGGGGCTTACAGATCGGGGGAAAAAGGGGTATTGTGCAGCTGGGAGACTGGTGGGGGTGACAGTCAACACTGTCGTCGTCCCCCCCCCCCTTCCCTTCATCATTTAGAAGACAAAGGATTTCATTATTTGTTTGTTTTTTGTTTAAATTCTTGAGTTAAATCCAACTTTACACGAACTCGTTGGGAACTTATTTCCTTAGCTCTTTAGTTCTTTATCTTTTAGCTTCAGTCAAACGGCGAGTTACTCTTTAGAAAGCAAAGTCGTTTGCTTAAAATGGATTTGGCGAAATGCACAATCAATCACTAATACTCATCCCACCCGCATAATGACGGTGCGGGAGTGTTACGTAGTCTAGCTTTGAACGAGTTTTTCCCGACACTGGTTTATGCTAAAATGCGCGCCGTAGGGTATCAAAAATAGCCCTGAATTTCAGCTATTTTTATAAAAATTTTTTATTTTGATATCAAAGACGCATTTTTTGAATTAAAAATGAAATACTATAAAACTCTTGCGACTACGCGACTGTACGAGGGCGGTTAGGGTACTATTACAGTATTTACAGCATGTCTTATACAAAAATTCATTTCTTTTATTTGCTAAAGTTTGTTTTTTATGGTTTCATATTTTTGATTAATTTGTTCTAATTCTAAATTTATTTCCTCATTACAAATTTCAGGGCAAAGATGTTGATGTGCTTGAGCTTGTGCTTCAAAAACTCGACGAGAAGATGCACCAAATGGAGATCAAACAATGAGTACGTGAGTGATTTTGGTGTTTTTTTGAGGGTTTAGATTGTTTTAGCTTCAATTTTACTGTTTTCACAGTAATCTTTCGTCCTAATAGTGAGATTATTGTAGTGAACTGGGGTAGGGTGGTCTTTGATTATTAGAATTTGACGGCTGTACCAACTTTTTTTGATTCTAGCAAGTCGGCAAACTTGTTCAGCGGCTCAAAACAAATAAAAAATGAAAAAATCTTTGAATATTCTACTAAATCTTGGTCAATTTGAGTTCTTTGAAAGAGCTTTTTAAAGAACTGATTGACAGAAATCGATTCTTCGGCTTTCATTTATACCCCTTCAAAACAACTCTTGCCTCTGTCACTTGTCCAAAGCTTTTGCTACCTTTGCTATATCTTTTCCAAGCTTAATCCATGCATTCCACTAAATTCAAATTTCATTTGCTTCCAAAGAAACTTGAAATCTTGAAATCAATGACAATCTCCAGATAACCCCTGAATCAAATTTTTCAACTTTGTTCATTGAAATCTTCAATGACAAATGCATTTGGTTAACTTCCGGATAGCATCTTTCCGCTTCTTTTCTCAAAGAACTTTCATTCTTGAACTCGAACTGGGTTTGAATGAACAATTCAATGAGCCCCCTCATTTCTCTCTTTTGCAAACGCCTCATTGCTATGCACACCCAGAAATGATGCGCTCTTTTTTCAGTGTTGAGGTGGACAGGGACACACAACTCTGTCATAGAGCCAAAATAAGCCCTATCTTCTTTGTTTTGATTGATTTGATTATAAAATTTTATCTAGTTAGCTGTCAAAAAAAGATTCATTGTAGAAAATCTTTCAACGTTTCAATATAATCCGTAACTTCTAAAGGTTAAGCAATCCGTATCAATCTTGGGGAAAGGTCTTGAAACTTTTGAAGATAAGTGATTCCGAAAAATCTTCTGTTGAATCAATTTACCCACTGCTTGGTGGCCCTTTTAAAATGGAAAAGGAAAAGGGCTGCCACGAAAATGCTTCTGAATTAAAAATTTCTATAAATAGAATGTCTCCGGAATTTTTGGTAAAGCGTTTTCAGTTTTGAAAGCTTTCTATTTCTTTGACCGTTTTTCATCCTCTACTTATCCAATTTTTCTATTTTATTTAGCCCGGGGATCTTGTGAGAAATGTCCAATTGCTAGCCAATCCTCTCTTCCTTCTGTACAAAATGAGTCGTTGGTCTTCTTCATCAACACCCGGAAGGTTTCTTATTCATCTTTTTCTTTTTCAATCCTTTTTTTCATTTCCAGTGTTCGTCCTGTTTATGGTGCTCAACACCCACCTTTGAAAAGCCTTTCCAGGAGCCCAGTGAAACAAAAGACTCAAATTTGAGCAAATCACCGCCGAACAAATTGCCGATTATGCAACTAGGTTTGGAAGTTTGATTTTTGGTTGAATTCCTCACAAAACAGAGTTCAAAATCTATTTTAAGGGTTAAATTTGGCTCTGCTATCTTTACTTAATTTATAAATTTAGTGTATCCGACATACATGGGACTCTCGTGTGGTGTTGGATCAAAGAAGTACGGCGTGTGCTAGTGCGGCTCGAGGATTTTGGCAGCTCACGCGGCAGCGGCAGCTCGAGACGATGCACGCCCCTCCTGTTTCGACAGCGCCCACTGAACAGCAGAGTACAAAAGCCATGCAACGATTGGCCATCCAGAAAGGTATGCTTTTCAAAAAAATCGTTTTATATCTTAACGTAGCTATTATTAATCTTTGTGAAAGTAAAGAAACTCAAACTGAATTATTCAATTTAGAGCCCTTGCCATCTGCATCAGCCCAATCGCAAAGCCAGTAATTGCCCCATCACCAATCTACCCCGCCTCCCCGAAATCTCCACCGATGATAAAATGCATCCAGATAAAGGTGGGAAAATTTGAACTACAGTTGAGTCTCGTTATTGAACTACGGAAGGAATCCTAAAAAATCCGGTTACTATTGAGGCTAGTTCACTATCCAGGTGTTCACTAACGAGAGTATCGACTGCATTTATGAACTATCTAAGAACATTAACTTTAGGAAAAGACAAAGATGTGGCTCGTTTTGATCGTTTGCGGAAAGTGCTTGGCGCAAAGAAGAATAGTGGTGGAGCAGATGGGAGAGCCGATTCACCACCAGCTGAAAAATTAGTGAGTGTTTCGCTTAAAGTTGCTTAAATGGTATATAGTTATCATTCCCTTATCTGCCACTTTAGATATGGAAAAAACTACGAGAAGACTGTTGAGATGGGCATTCCGCACAAATTGAGACCGACAGCCTGGAGACTTTTATCGGTAAGACTTAGACCTTATAGTTAGCAGTATTTCTTGACAATATCAAACCTAAGTGAAGAGCCATATTAAACAGATATATGAAGTTATAATCTTAGCAAGCAAATTTAGGGTTACTTCCCACCGAACATTGATCCGAAGAAAAGTGACGTTGCAAAGACCATGAAGAACTCTTTGGCATTATGTTGAACAGTATTTTCACACACGATTTGACGATCATCATAATGACACTTTTAGACGGGTTTATTCATATATATCACTATTTTGTAGGTAATCGCTTATCATTTATTTTAGGTCACATTATTGACATCCCGAGAATGTGCCCGCTGATCCCGTTATTTCAACCGAAGCGTTCGAGAGGTATTTTTAACATTTTCTAGTAGTAAGCGTTATGTAAAAATTTAAGTGTTCTGCAAGAAGTGGGTATATATTTATTTTCAAAAATTAGATGTTCGAGAGGATTCTCTACATTTGAACGATCCGCCATCCACGGCAAGCAGTTGCGTGCCGGGAATCAATGATCTTGTCACTCCGTTTTTTGTCGTCTTTCTGAGGCGAATTCACATTCCACAACACGTTGAGGTAATATTTTATGAAACAAAGCGTTAGAAAACTAAACCCGACGTTTGAGTAATACTTTGAAAAACGTAGCATGTTGGCGGAGAATTCAATACTTTTTTTAAGTCGGAACTTTTGATGTCTCCACAACTACCGAGGGAACAAATCGAGCTTGTTGAAGCGGATAGTTTTTGGTTGGGTTTTTCAAAAGCTTGGTGATGTTTGTGTTTTAAATACAAATCAACAAATACTATTTTCTAGGTGCGTTTCTTCACTCCTCCCGACTCGATCCAAGACAGCACACACCTTTGCTCAACCGGGAATTCAACGCAAAGTCCTTCAGCTGAAACATTTGATGAGCAGGATTTGATAGTCAGTTTTTATCTATTGATTAAAAATAATGTTTAATGATAAAATTTCTAGGACCTCTTCATCTCGTCATTTGGAAGGAAATCAAGTCGAATACTTGCAATTTGCGGGTTTCCGATGGATGATGAACAACTTGTTGATGCGAGAGATCCCGTTGAGGAGCAACGATTCGATTGTGGGACACGTATCTTGTAAGTTCGAAAATTTAAAGAATCCAATAATTTTCTTTAAAATTTGCTAAGTTTCTATGTTTAGGCCGAGCAGAGCAGCTTCTCGCAATTTCACAGCTACGTGTGTGCGGCTTTTCTCCGCGCGTGGAGTAAACAATTGCAAGCGGAGAGAGATTTTCAGGTATCTATAATTTATTTTATCAATCTTTGTTTAACTTTCTGTAGTAATGTTCTATTTTAGGGTATCATGATTTTGCTACAAAATCTGCCAACACAGTCGTGGGGTGATCGAGAAATTTGCGAGTTGACAGCCGACGCGTATTCACTTCAAGCAGTTGGTTTTTTTGCATTTGAAAATGCTTGCTAATAAAATCTAGTCAATTTTGTTAAAAAAAGTTTACATTATCCTGTAAGTTTTTTTTTCAAATCCAAACTTCAAAGCAAAATTTTGTTTTTCAGGTGTTTGATGGTGCTGCTCGACATCTAACTTCCGGGCAATCGAGTCCATAACTCCGAGATTCTTGTGAGGAAATTTGTATATGTTTTTTCTCAATATTCAAATGTACGCTTCATTTACTCTGTGATCACTTTTTTATTGTAAAGAATCGAACACTTTTTGTCATATTTCTAGTTTTTAGCTTTTCCTTTCCGTGCCTGTTTTGATGAGAAATTAATAATGTAACTTATTGCGCAAATTTCTAAGCTTTTTATTGGGCTCGTGTGAAATGTATCGTTTTTTTCTGGTGTAATAACATGGCCAGTATATTTCTATTGTACAGTTAGCATAATTTTGGTCGAATAAACGGTTCTTTAGATGCGAAAAGGAAAATACATGTAAAGATTTTTGTTTTGGAATCAAACAATATTTCTAACACGAAACAAACCTGACTTTCTGGTAGTTATTTTATTTTTTTAAGATGAGCGCCTTGACGGTGCAAAGCTTGGTTCTCTCGTCGTGTACGATATGTCAAGCCGGGACCGAGTTTATACACAGGTAACGCTTTTGGATCGTTTGATTAAACTTTAAGCCAAACTTCAATAAAGCATCTTTGTGGCATAAAATGTTTTTGAAAGTGTCATTGTGTGCAGAATGGTTCAAATTTGTTTACTCAGTCAATCATCAATGCTTTTTTAGGAATATTGAGGGTGGAATTCACTTGGCAACTTTTCTCTCCTTCTTGATGATCTCCACAAAAGGAATTCTCCTCGAAAAACGACTATTTGGTGCACCACAACATATCCCAACAAGGTAAATGACTCAGTATCTATCAAAAAAAATTAAAAATCGGTCCCTTAGGTGCCAATCGATTAGCTCAACTTTTATCTGCTCCATTAGAATTCCTCATGTTTTTGTTTTCAGAAAATATTGGTCGATGGTAACGATTTTCTTCATCGTAAACCTCTGCAATAATTATTCGCTTTACTTTGACGTTAGCATGCCATTATTTATCATTTTTAAATCGGTAAGTGCTTTTTTTGTTTTCTTTTGGAAAAGCTATTTTAGGGATCACTTCTGGCAAATTTGCTATTGACGTGGATCATTCGACGACAAGTTTATCCGTTCTCCAAAATTTTGGCTATCATTGTAACGACGATTGGTAAGACTATCATTCATTTCATTGAAAATCTTTTTTTTTAGGTTTGGCCATATTCACAATCGCTTCATCGACGAGAAAACCACAATGGGTTGCTCAACCGCCGGAATGGGTGAATTACATCCCCGTATCACCGTTTTGGATAGGTTTGTTGGAATTTCAGTTTAAAAAACGTTTCTTTTAGGAGTGATTTTGATGTCAACAGCGCTCTTCCTCTCCGCTTATCTTGGGATTATGCAAGAGGACTTGTTTCGGACGTATGGAAGACATCACGAAGAGGCGCTTTTCTTTGTGGTTAGTTGCTAAAAATAGTATTATAACTTGGTATAAAATTATTATGCTAAAAATAAGTTTTATTTAGCACTTCCTGTCGCTTCCAGCTTTTGCTCTTGTCGGTGACTCGTTGCTTCACGCGACATCCGGTTTATACAACGTGGAAAATGTTATTGTAAGTACACTTATAGTCATGTAAGTCTAAATTAAGTCACGTTGCTCATTTTAGATAGGTGGTTATGATGTTCCCGTTTGGTTCTTATTCTTCGCCTCTTGCGCTTTACAGTAAGCTTTCAAAGATTTATGACCTATATTTTTCAACTCTAGGCTCATTTGTGCGGGATCAGTTTTCCGATTAGCATCCGTTTCCTCGTCTCTAGATGTAACAATGCTCTTGTCAATTCGAAAAGTAATCTCCGTCCAATTATCGGTTTACTTGTATGAGAATCAAATGACCTCATTTCATTTCTTTGGCGCTTTAGCCGCTTTCATTGGTAGTGCGCTTTTCTACATGTAATTATTGTAAAAACTAAGAATCTATCCTTTTTGTTTTAAACCTTTTGTCGCTTGATGTATTTAGGCATGTTTTTATGTATATCACTTTCAATTTTACGGGTTACTAACGTTCGGTTGTTCGATGTCTTATTCTAATAAATTTTTCATACAAATTCTAGCAACTCTTGACTAGTTCTGTCTGTGCTTTACTTGGTGACCAATTTATGAGAGAAAATGTGAAAAGCTGAAAGGTTTTGCTTTTCCAATATTGTTTTAAATCCATGACAAAAGATAAGCTTGAAAATTGAACCCTTTGCAATGAACGCGACCCTGCAATCGTAAAGTGTTCAACGGCGGAATCATCGTTTCATTTTGCTCCAACATTTCAGAACCATTCCTTCCACTTTTCCACGTAATTGTCGTGTGTTCATTTTGTTCATTCTAGTCTAATTTTTCTATTTACAGGGCCACGACGCACGAATGCACAACATGAATCAGCAACCTCATCCTGGAATGCCTCAACACCAGCAAAGTCCATTGATGTCGGCACTTGGTGGACCGCAAGGAGGAATGGACGGGAATCAGTCATCGCAAGGACCTCCTGGTATGCAAGAAGGAAACTTCATCGGCGGTGGGATGAGACCAATGCAACCCGGCGGAGGACCAATGCGAGGACCCGTCGGTGGACCTGGGCCAATCCGACAACAGCCAATGATGCAAATGCAAGGACGATTGCCTCCGTATATGCAGAATCAGGGACCGCCACAGAGACCCGGCTACTCTGGCCCTCCACCGCCACATCAGGGCCCACAAGGATCGCCGATGCCAATCATTCCGGGCAGAATTGTGCAGCAACCAGGACCACTTCGACAACAGCCGTATCCTGTGCAAAGACCTGGAATGCCGATGTCTTCGATTCCACAACCGCAGCATCTTGTACCCAGGCAAATCACTGGTCCACCACCAAATATGCCGACGGGGTCTCTGCAACCAGGGGCGCCAATGCCAAGAGGTGCATCTCCAGCACCACCACGGCCTCAAGCATTTCAACCGCCTGTCGCCAACCCACCCCCATCTGCGATGCCCCAAGTACTTGATGGAAAAGCGGCTCTCATCGACAAGTCGCGATTGGACAAAATCGTACAAGAAATCGATCCACGGTTGGTGCTAGATGATGCCGTGAAAGAAGCGCTAATCGAGATGAGTGACGAGTTTGTGAGTGATCTCATAGAGAAAGTTTGTGTGCTAGCTCAACACCGTGGAAAGGTCTCCGTTGCGAGTGGTGACAACAATCATCGGCTTGAAGTGAGAGATGCGGAATTCGTGTTGAACACCGTTTACAAGATGCCTCATCCACCGCGAGCCGCTGTTCACGTTTTTGGGAGCCGCAGCACCAGCGAAAGCCGATGATAAACCTCCAGCCACCTATGCGCACCAGGCTCGACTTCAGCTAATACGAAAAAGTTTAAAAAAATAATTCATGTTTAGTTGTTGATTGTAACTTTACCATTTTTATGTAAAGCGGGTGTGACTTTGTATCTCATTATTGTAAATTGATTTATCTGAGGCCTATTTTTTCAGCAATTTTTCACTTCTCTAATTTAGACTTATTTACCTTGTTGCAATAATAAAAGTGTTTAGCCATTATGGAACAAGTTAGTTCCCGTGTCGAGGGTGAGCATGTCGAAAAGATGTCTGCTCCTGCGGATTCAATTGGAAAGGTAAATTTTAAGCACAGTGTCAAATTCTAGCCGGGATCCAGCAATTCTATTAATTTTAGACCTCCCAACAAGCTTTGGCATCTACAGATGTGATCGAGACGGTGACTGCGAGTGCCAAACCGGAACAAACGATGCCAGCGGAATCCCAGAAACAGGACAATCCTTTTGATGTCGCTAAAGAAGTGAGTCTTAAACTGCTACAATTACATACAACAACATCCACATCGCGTCGTCCAATCATTCATGCTATTTGTTTTAGACCATTGACGACCTTGTCACCGCGACGGAACAATCGACAATAATTAATGATGGAGATCACAAAGAGATTGAAGATCCGTTAGTATTCTTAAATTGTGGTCACCAATTATTATCAACTTTAGGAAGCTTGATCAAAGTTTTGAGACAGCGATCTCGAGCCACTCTGTCAACACGGCCATCCTCAACGAGAATGTCTTGGATCATTCCGGTATGTCGAAGGATTCTGTGGGAACGGCAATTCTCAACGAGAATGTCTTGGATGGTTCCGGTATGTCGAAGGATTCTGTGGAAACGGCAATTCTCAACGATGCGGCCAAGGCTGCTTTGCGAGAGGAGTCCCAAGATGTGACGCAATCATCTGTAGCTGAGGACGAGCTGAATTCTTCTAAAGCTGAGGTTTTAGTTGCAATACCTTATACTCTAAAGTCTAAATTTTAGAAGCCGATAGTTGACATGCCGAGAACTGATAGAACTGCAGCTGGTCAAGATGTGGATACGATTACTGCTTCTAAGGAAGAAATCGATGATTTAACAAAGTATTTGCTAAAATAACTTTTGCACATTTCCACTGTTTTAGATTAATGGCCGAAGCATCTTTTGAAACTCCAAGCGCGACTTCAAATGAAGGCGCGAAGCACATTCATTTTGAAGTGACGCTCTTGTAGCTTCAATGAAACAAAAATTTGTTTAGACTAAGAAGATCTCATTTGGTGAGGTTCCATTAAGAATTGTGCTGCAAAAGGTGAATGGTGCGTGCCCACTTCTTGCGATTGTCAATGCTTTGGCTCTTAAAGGTAATTTGTGAGCCGATTATGTAAAACAACGAGCGTTTAGGTCAAATTACGCTTCGTGACGTTCCTCATGTTTCACTTGCTGAGCTCAACGAGATTGTTGGCGACTGTCTACTTAGGTTTGATATTTTTCGGAGTTCCATAATAATTCTCTTTCAGACTCAAACCTGAGCTGCCTGTTAATGAAGAAGGCAATTATAACAAGGTAGGGGTTTTTGAGTTTAAAACAAACTATGGTATATTTTAGGCGTTGACTGATGTGATCAATTTGATTCCGACTCTTAACGAAGGCCTGACAATCAACGTGCATTTTCGCAGTCCACATGTAAGTTATTAGCTTAATTCATTGACATGAAATTTTAGGATTTCGAATTCACACCAGCTTTGTCATTGTTCGACTTGGTGGGCCTCAATCTTGTTCATGGATGGCTGCCCGACCCACAACTTCAGGAACTTTGTGAGTTACTTTATTAATCCAATTAACATAACACGTGTTAAGGCGCTCTTCTTGGATCAATGAGCTATACGCAAGCTCAAATCAAAATGATCGAGAAAGAAGGCGACACTGACGGACTGATCATCGGAGAATTTTTGAACACGACTGCCAATCAGCTCACTTATTATGGTGAGTTGGCTCTTATTTGTGTTATGTTTTTGTCATTTAGGTATCTTGGCATTAACCGAAACGCTTAAAGATGGAGAAGTTGCCGTGCTTTTCAGAAACAATCATTACTCGACTATTTACAAGCGTCGGGTAACTTTTTAACACTTTTAATGTTTTAGGACAGTTTTAGGACGAAATCTTTTCCCTGTGCACTGACTCCGGATTTAAAAATACCCCAAATGTGGTTTGGGAAACCTTGTGTGTCGATGGCGATTCTTATTTTGTTAATAGCAATTTCAAGTAATGATTTGCAAAATTATTTTTATTAGACGTTTTTAGGACCAGTGCCTCGACTCCTGTAGATCATCAAGACGATGCGCATCAAGTGTATGAACATCAAACGGACGAGCAAATAGCCCAATCGATCCAGGATCAAGAATTGGCCCAACAACTCCACGATCATGAGCTAGCAGTCCAGAAGAAACGTCAAGAATCGGCCCGTCGTCAACAGGCGCAACCTCAAGGCGCAGTCCCACAGCCAGCGCCAGAACCTGCCTATCAAGTGGAACACCCTGAACTTCCTCGTCCAAAGTCTAAAGTACGTAATGTTATTGTTACCAATATATTAATAATGCTTTATTTAGTCTGTTTGCTCCATCATGTAACGTCTTCGCAGGAACAAGAAGCTTCCCAAATGCAATCAATATACACCTATTGTAAATTTGTACATTTTCTTGTGAATATTTCATACATTTAGCATTATCGTTTAGCTTGTGATTTTTAGCTTTATTGTTTGCCGGTGCCTGTAAGTTTTGATCTGCCTGTGATTTTCATTAAATTTGCCTTTGAATTCTGTGTGATGCATTGCTGGGAAACATTTTGTTTGTTTGAGATAAAGATGAAACATTTGTATTTCATCTTTTGTGGATCTTTTGTATTCTCTTGACGCAGAGTGAAATGTCTTTCGAAAGGGAAAAGAAACGTTGGAAATATTGGGAAATACCTAGCGTGATAAGGCGTCACGTCATTTGGCTGATCGAAAATGTCACTAAAGATTGTCAGTCAGATTTTTTTGATTGCTTCAATGAATAGTTTATTGAAAGGTTAAAATTTTACCAGAATTCGATATTCATTGGTCAATTTTTCTTGTGTCGTACCAAAAAAATTTAATTGATTTACTTTATATTTGATTTTATGATTTTAACGAACAAGCAATAATTTATTGGTTTAAAATATCGAGCCAGCGTTTTTAAACTCCGGTTTTTCTGGGTTCTTGTTTTGTACTTAACCCTGGATTGGCATTTATCTGCCAGAGCTCTCAGTTTTTGCTTTCAGAAATGGCCACCGAGAAACCGCTTTGCAAATATTTTGCCAACGGAGTCTGCTCAAAAGGAGAAAGGTACAATTTACGAAAAATACTCAATTGTTAGTTGTGTTTTACTTTCAGATGCAAAAATAGCCACGACAGAAATGTTCCAACGAATGATGTGTGTCGCTACTACAGAGCTGGAAGGTAAATATAAAAAGTTTGCTCTATAGATTAAGTTGCTTTAGTTGCTCGTATGGAAGAGAATGTCGATATGATCACATCAAACCGAAGAGTCAACTACAGTCAAATGTTAGAACAAGGTTTGCAATTTGCTTGTTATACCAATTTATAAAGCTTTTAGTTCAAACTTTGCCGGCACTTCTGGATCACATAGGAGAGTTGAAGGTAAAACTTCTGAACTTTAGAGGAAAAATAATCTATTGTTTAGGTGGAAATCGCGCTCCAAAACCCATACAATTGGATGCCTTTCTTCCAGCTGAAACATCGTTTAACGTCAATGCGCCAGCTTTTGTCCCTTCATGGCTGAAAGAAGCTCGTAAGTTGTCTAGTAGTCTCTGGCATTTTAAAAGGGATTGTTTTAACATGAAGAGCTTTTTCTGCTGGATGATATTAAAAACTTGAATGGTTTAGTAGAAGTCAAAGTAATTTAAAAGTTTAGCGTCAAACTACGCAAGTGCCGCCGGTTCAGTGCCCACGCCCAAATTGAGACCTCTTTGCCCATATTTCGAGACTGGCGACTGTCCAAAGTCTGAGGAGGAGTGATTTATCAATTTTTAACCCAATTATCAATGCGTTTAGCTGTGAATTTGTGCACGGAATACTTTGCGAGACATGTTTCAAGGCGTATTTATATCCAGATGATCCTGAACAACAACAAATATCATCGTGCGGTTGGATTATTTTTTGCAATTTCTTGAAAATTAAGCTGGCATCAAAGTATTAGGCACAATTATGCGTTTAGGAATGCGTGAAACAACACGAGATGAATCCGTGAAATGGCCTTCAATGAACAGCGTGGTTCGGATAAACGCTGTGGTGTTTGCCTGGAAGCAATTTAAGCATGAAAAAGGTTTTTAATGTTTAGGTTATGTAGCCAGGATAGAGTTTAGAATCTCCGTTTTGGTATCCTTGAAGGCTGCACACATTGCTTCTGTTTGAAGTGTATCAGAAATTGGCGAAAGAAGCAGGAATTTGAGACCGATGTGACCAGGTTTTACGCTTTTAAAATTAAATCGAATTCATGAAATTATTTATGGTAAAAAGTACTTTTATTTTTAGATCTTGTCCGGAGTGTCGGGTTCATTCGAATTTTGTTATTCCATCGGTTGTTTGGCTTGAAGAACCTGAGGAGAAAAAAGTTCGTCAGTATGTAATTTTTTTTACAACCACCTGTAGGTGATGCTTGATGCTTTACAGCAGGAGAACACGGCAAAGAAAATTTGCCGTTATTATCAGGTTTGGAACAACCGTTATGTATCTACCTATTTTTTCTAAGGGCTCGCCAAACGGGTGATGGGGATGGCTGTCCGTTTGGGAACAAATGCCGGTATCGTCACCTATTGCCTGACGGTTCGGATTGATCCTGGAAAAGAGCCTGGGTGAGATGATTTGGATGAATTAACGCCTCAACCAAAACAATATCAAATTTTTGTATCTATGGCCCAATTTTTAAATGAATAGAGCATTAAAAGTGAACTCTTTACAACAAATACGATAATCTAATTTGGATCTTCAAATTTTTAATGAATATTATCTGTACAAAACATATCTTCTTTTTAGTTCTCGTCGACTTCCGCGTCTCTCGCAATCTTATCTTTGCCAACGAGACGATGATGACGATGCTGACTTTGTCCATCACTACGAGGAACTGACTCGTCTCCTCGGCATCCCGCTCAATCAAGGACTGCCTTAATGAAACGGATTTCGAATAAGTCTCCTTTTTCTTATTGATTAGACTTTTAATTGAGTCTCTATTCTGCTTACATTTACGGTTATTTTATAGAAGCGAGTACAGTCAATTCTTTAAGTATGTCACGCTAAAAGTTTTAAATCATACTGCGTATTGACTGTACTCTAAATTAGGCAAGAGCCATATATTTTGTCTTATCCATGTAATAATACTTTGTTTATTTGTAATACCAAGGAATTTGTTAGCCTTGTTGAATGTTTGGCTCCTAATCGATTTTGCGTTAATCTGCAGATCATTTGAAATTGGAGCAGCAGTTGTTGAAGTAACGATATTTTTTTAATGTTATAAAAACGTTTCCTTTTACCAAAGCATTTCATTAATGTAGATTTTCTTTTGAATTGAACTTTCGTAGCTGCGTTTTGAGTGGTCTTTTGAAAACCGAAGGGCGGAGAGGATTTCGATGTCGCGAAGACGAGCCGTGTACTCGAGAAGTAGTTGGTGATCGGGCTAGGGTTGGAGTAAAGTTTGCCATAGAAGAAAATAATATTTGTTGCAGAAAACCCGTAGCTACTGGATGGGCATTGTCAGTCTAGGCTTAAAATGAAGCATACCAAGAAACTATTTTCTTTTGTCTCTTTCAGAATATTCTCACTAATTGATTGAAGTCCTCAAATGGATATGGTGCTAAGAAAGGGAGCGTTTTTGTGAGTTCATCATTTGCACAAGTAAATCCGTCCCATTCACCATCGCAACGAATGAAAATGCGAAAGAAATACGTGTCCACGGGACTGAAAATGATTTCGAAAAAAGCATTTGCTTAGCGCTTACCCATCTCGTTCTTTTTCAGTAATCCGGTAACCATCAAAAGTCGATTGAATCGTTCAATGTAACTTTTTGTTTCTTTTTGTAGAGCTCTCCAGAATGTGTTCAAGAATTGAGGATCGGCCGGGAAAAGGAGCGATTTTTGAGGAGCTTAAGCCTAAAGGTTGTGGAAAATTACTGTATCTCGAAGAATTTTAGGAAGGATTCCCTATTTAGCCTAACTCTTTGGCAAATTGTCTCTACTAGCACTCACCATCACTGACAGCTAATATTCCTTGTCCATCAACACCGACCAAATCATTTCCATCTACTTCCTGAGATGAGGTAACCATTTCTGAGAACGATCTTTTCTAGAATTACTGTTTATATCTCGAAGAATTTCTCAAAATACTGTTTGGGGAATCGATCACAAAGGTGTTATCGTTGATTTGATGATGACAAAATTGTTGAGACCCGTCTTGATCCAATGGAAAACGGATTTGTTTCTTGAGTCCGCACAGGCACTAAAATTTTTGCTTTTTTCAGATTTTTTTGTGGAAGAGAAGTGCTTGACTCAAAAAAGATTTTATTGTTTTTCAAATTTGCATCAACTTGGTGGGGGAAGGGAAAAAAGGATCATCGAATACGAGATAATTTTTTCTCTTTTTCTTTTAGGTTTTCTCTTCTTTTCTTTTCCAAAATAGGTTTTGAAAAATAATTTCTTAAAACAGAAATTTCTTAAAGAAGTCAACTTTTCAAATCATTTACCCGATTTCCTTGTCATTTTCATACAGTGGATCGATTCGTTTTATCGATTCCTTTAATTTGTTCCATAGAGCTCCCTCTATTCCATTGTTTGGTTTAGGACTTTACCTTTTTTGTAGAATGTCTAAATGTTTTTTTTCTGAAGTTAGAACGAATATTTTCTAAAAGCCTACGTGCAGAATAGATTATAGTATTCGATGACTTGAAAATGCGGGCACCACTTTGGTCATTTTGAGCCGGCGTCCCATCGCGAAGAAAACGGTGCTCATTCATAAGCAATGAAAACAAAACAAGAACAAAAAAGTCATCTTTGGAGAGTGTCAAACTCAATTTAACTCGACTTAACTCAATTTTAAATCAATTTAAATCAATTTAAAGCAATAAAATAAACTGTAGGATATTGGTTTTTATCATAGTATACACCCTATAGTCTATTTTCCTTTAAACCTCCGGCAAAAAAATGTAATCCCATCCGTGATTGCTTCCCTAGATCTACTCTGCGGCGTTTTTGGATAAGGATAACTGAATAGGTTTTTGAACAAAAAAAAGATAACTAAATCGAGAGTGAACAAAAGTTTAAAATCAAAACAATAACAAGTTGAAAAAAAAAGTGATATGCCAAATTAGAAGTTGAGTTGTTGTTTGTTCTTAATAGAGTGTGTTCTATACATTTCGAGTGTCCCTCTCTGTGTCCCCCTTTTGCTCCTCAGGCAATTGTTTCTTTATATTTTAACATAATTTTTGTTTTTCAGAAATGTGCTTTAGATCCTTTTAAATTTTTCATTGATCATTGAGTTTAAAAAGTTAAAGCACATTTGGGAGAGCAAAAAGTTGCGATTTGATATGAAAAAAAATAGGGGGATACAGGGGGGGGGGGGACACTTTAGGGGGACAAAAAGGGGACACTAGGGGGACACTGGAAATGTATATTCAGTGAGTAATGCGTTTTTTGAAACGTGCACTTGGGAAAAAAATTACCGTACCTTTAGCAAAAATTATTGGGAAAAAATGACGCAAAAATGACGAGCCCCGGGCATTATATACGACACTTTTTAAAGATACTCAGCCGTTTAACTGATTTTGGTGGGAAATTCCCTTCCAAAGTAAAAAACTGATTTTTTTTTTTGGAAAACCTGCGCGGAAAAAATTGCTTTTTATGGGGGTGAGACGAATGCGACCTTCTTTTTGCGCACCCGGGACATTTGCGCACCTTTTCACCCATTATAACAAAGCGACTGCCCTAGACCCATATATAATCGTTTTGTTAGATTCCTATTAACGTGTAGTTTTAAGGGATTGGCGCGAAAGCGGCGTGGTGCACTTTGCAAAGCGGGGATGTGCTAAAAAGTGCGGAAAAAAAGATGCGCAAATGTCCGGGTGCGCTAAAAAAAGGTCGTGCATTTGTCCCACTCCCGCTTTTTTATATTTTTTTTCGCGCAGGCGCACTTCTTTGTAAAAACGTATTACTTCGACAATTACTGGAACTATTACTTAGAGCCAAAAATTACTCATGCAAATTTACTCTCGAGTTATTGCAAATTACTTACCCGCGAGGAACACACTCTAGTTTTTAAACTGACTCACAAACTGAGCCTTGTCCCCGGATCGCCGACAACGAGCAAATCGCCAAACAATGTTTGATATCGAATAGTGAAATCTAAAAGTAAACTGATCTATTATTGAGTTTGAAAGCTTTAAAGCAAAGTAAGGAATGGTAAAGAAAGATTTGGCCCCCCCCCTCCGGAGGGGTGGATTAATAAAATTGAAAAAAAATACCTTGGCGGTAAAGTTTCTCGATTGTAGACTGGGAAATGGGATCGTTGAGGATCATTCTCGGAGGCTTTCTGATAGCTTTTGAACTGATGATAAAGCCTAAATTTATCAATTCGGCTTATTTCTACATCCCTGACTATTGGATATTGTTAGGATTTTAAGGATTTGTTGGGGCCCCCCCCTTTGGAAAAATTTTAAGGGTTTAAGGATGTTAGTGGCACCCTTTGAAAAATTAATCTCCATCAGGCAAATAATAAACGAGCAATTGCATCACCGAATGCGTATTTGTACTGGACGGGGAAACGAGTTGTGTTGACGACTTGATCTTGATTTGTGAAACCTAAAAGACTTTAATGAATTCGATTTCTTGAATATTATAGTATTATTATTTATTACAATCTTTATACCCGACCATGACCTGAGAAAAAGACAATATTTGTGCAAGAGAGACGATTTGCTTTGTGGAGAACATTGAAGAAAGTGCCGATTGCCTCTATTCAGACGTTTCAAGATTACGGTAAGCCAAAAAGTACCGACAGCTTACGGTAATTAACTTTTGATCGATCTCAAAATCTCTACTTCTACCCACTTCAGGTGAATTTTTCTTTGCCAGATGTCTCGTTTCATCCGGTTCATTAATATATCTCAATGACGAGACCAGGTCGGAGCTCTTTTGGCTTCAAAATCTCACCGATTATCTAAGAAATTGATTTAAAGATAAAACCAGTTTACTACTGGATTAAACACATGCTCCATTGGGACATTTTCGAAGATCTCTGTCAGCATCGGGTCGATGATCTGAATGGCGGTTTAGATTTGCTGAATCGAATTATATGCTCTCACACGGATAATGATAACATCCTGGATAGTAAAGACAAGAGACATCGCTTCCCAGTTTGGCGGCGATAAGTTGACCAGGATCTAAACATAAAGATAAACACCTTAAAATCCTATAAGTGCAAGAAAAATGTTTAGCTTGAAAATGGACTAACTGGTTCACCGTTTGTGTAAAAAATCGTAGAGAGATGCGTTTTTCTTCGAACGTCCACAAAATTTGGAGACAATGATGGAACGTGGATCTAAAAAAGAAATCAGCTTTTTCTTCATTACCCAACATTTTTCTTCATTACCCATCCCTCGATAATTCCATGGTATCCTGGATGGAGCCTGGTCATCATTGTGTCACGATTGGGAAGGGTTTTTGAGGGGAAAACGGGCTTAACGGGCTGAATTGAGGGATTTTGATAAGTGGTAGTCTTTGGAACGAATCAAAAACCTCCGCTCGTACACCCCTTTCGGCCATGAGATCAAGATCTTCGAGAATTTCTCGATTGAGACATATTCTTCAGCTAAACTGTCAAACGAAATGATCACCAATGGACTTGGACTAGTACTAAAATTCACATAAGATTGGATAAACTTTTAAAAAAAAAAACCTCTGACAACTCTCCTCCTCCGTTTCCTCCAAACTTTGCGATTCATAGAACCAGGAATGTGCGTGAGCTGAATTAATTGGGATTTTTGTTGATTATAAATACCGTATTCTCTGTAATAGAGGTGCACTCTTTAATAGTATTGCGGTCCAGGAGGGGGGGCTCAAAAAATAGTAGTGCGCACTAATATTAGAGAGAATACGGTATTTGTTTCTTAAAAGATAAAGTAATTCCAAACGAGCTACGGTAGTTCTTTTTGAATTGAGAACGAGTAAAAGTAGTTTTTTATAGGTAGGAGACAGTAAGAGTATTTCCATCCTTGAACCTAATTCCACTTTCGTCTTCTCAGGCCATCTTCGTTCCGGATTGCTCTGAAATTTTGTTCACAAGAAGTGACAATTTCTATTTGTAAACAAAATCTCAGAAGAATTGGTCAAGAAAACAAGGGTGGAATTAGGTTCGGATTGGAATTTTCCCATGCTCGACAACAGAGATAAAACCAAATCTGTAGAGAAAAGAAACTAAAACTGTAGCTGAGAGTACCCCACACACAAAAAAACCACGGCAACAGAAATAAAACTCACACACAAAAAAAAAACCCCTAAAAGACTCACTTTTCTTCTCTGACAAACTCGTTGATCACCCAAAGCGTGATAAAGCACTGGTTTCAAAAATACGCATCCAATGTGGCTTAGAATATTTGTAAACAAATTTAAAATTTAAAAATTGAATTTCAAATACCTTTAGCACATTGAAATTGACAGGGAAATCTGAAATTCTTGAGAATTTGTTTGTACTTTTTTTATAAACCTGAGCCAGCCCATTTTCGAGGCGAATTCTTGACTTGTGAAGGGTAAAATTTGATTACAGAAGTTTAAAAAGAATTTATTTTTGAATACCTAAACCTTTTCCCATCAATTATCCTTCCGACCACAAGAGAAATGAGCTGAGAAATCGTTTGATTCAGAAAGTTTACAGAAATAATAAAATTTGAAAAAGTTTTCATTAGCTAAAAGAATCGCTTTTGAGTCAAGAAATACTTGAGATAAAATATCTTTATGAAATCGGGCTGATTCAAAGTGCTCGTTTCTCTCTGTTTTCGCAAGTTTTTTTTGGGGCAAAATTAGGTTCCTTTTTGCAATGGAGAGCAAAAAGGTCAAAATCATAACATGAAAAAATTTCTAGACAAGGGAAATGGAGAGAAATGAGAAAAAGATATTATGTTGTCTAGTTTTCAAGTAAAGATGTGTAATTAAAGATGTGGAAAGCTCTGAAATTAGTGTAGAATCGAAAACGGAAAATGGACTGTAAAAGGCCCTTTTTTTTCAAGAAGAATTTCCTCAATTTTTTTTTGCGCAACAGGTTCATTTGTATCCCCTGGCCATAACTTTCTTCTGGTTGGGTAATATCTTTATGATTTTGGTTTCATTTGTTGCACTTATTGAGGTCTTCAAGGTAAAACCAAAAATACAAAGATTCTGGCTGACTGGGGGGTGAGTTATGGCGAGTTGCACGGGAATGACCCTGTTGCTCCCTAAAAAATTGTGGAAAGCGGAAAGCTTATATGCCCCTTTATTGCGTCCCCCATATTCAGCTCTGGGACTAAATAGCAATACATCCGCTCTATAAAACTGATTTTTTTCAAATGAAAATCATTCTTTTCTCGTTGCGAAGCTTGTTTCATTTTTACGGCTTACTCTAATTTTTTTTTATCGTTACTACCTCATTTTTTCCACAGTTAAAGCTTATTATTTTAGAAGATCATGGCCTACGATAATCAAATCGCCACATCCCGCAACACTTCCGCAGCAGCAAAGTCACGGGACGCCAACTTGTCGCCCAGCCGGAAGACGGGGATCAGACATTGCAAGGACTACCCACCCCTCAAGAAAACAGCCACCTCGCTTTCACGGGTGGAGGAATTCGGGGAACCGGTGGTGGACCTGGACCACCTGGACAAGCTCAGAGAGTGCAATGAGGATCGTGCACGCACCGCGTCAGCAAATGAATCAACAAGTGGAGATGATGGAACCACCACGATAAACAAATGAGTCGTGGCGAAAGGTCCAAAATCCTTCACTGGCAAATAAAATGGAGTCAGTCCCCCCCACAAAAAAAAAAAAAAAAAAAAGAGGAAGAGACGGTCCATGCAATCACGACAACTAATGAGTCAAGAGATGGTCCATGCATCACGCCAGCAAAATGGGTCATGAGATGCGTCTACGCACCACGTCAGCAAATGGAACAGGATATTGGTCTACACACCACGCCAGCAATGACTCAAGAAATGGTTCACGCACCACGACAGCAAATGACTCAAGAAATGGTTCACGCACCAATGACAACAAACAGTCAAGAGATGGTCTACGCACAACGGCAGCAAATGAGTCAAGAAATGGTCCACGTACCACGCCAGCAAATGAGTCAACAAGTGGGAGATGGTCAAGAGACAAAGCATCTTTCACAAGTCGAGGAATCCGATCGATCCCCGCTCGAGTGACCCATTGCCGGACTTCCAGTTCGACGCCAGCAGCCTAGTGCTCCAATGCACGGACGATTGCTCTTGTAGGGACCACAGGGCACCCCGATGGCGGGCCAATGGTAATCGTGCACCCGACACCAGCTCTTCGTCAACAAAATGTACCCGGCGGCGCAGAGAGAACCCATTCCTACAATGCCGCGCGCCGCAACGCCTTGCATCGAAACAAATCACTGGGCCTACCGAGCGCCTCGACTGTCCCGGCAGGATCGAGAACTCCACTGCCCAAAATGGCCGTCGAAAAATCCGCCTCTCATCGAAAAGCCGCGCTTCAATAAAATCGCGAAGGAAATCGGATCCGCATTTGGTGTTGGATGATGTTGTGAAAGATGCGATCAACAGGATGAGTGACGAGCTTGACAATGATGTCATTGATAAAGTTTGTGTGCTAGTCAAAAATCGTGGAGCACTCTTGGTGATTGCCGTCCCCGAGGCCCCTCATGTAATTGAGGCTTCCGACACGCGACCTGTTCGGGATACCGCCCATAAGATCCCATCTGCACCATGTGAACTTATTCGCGAGTCGAAGGGCGAACCGGCAAAAGTTTCGAAGAAAGACCACTGTAGCTTCGGATGCTCAACAAGCTCGAGCTCAATGGAGCAAGAATCTTTCGAAACAGTTTGATTACTTTAATAGTTAATGTATGTTTTCATTTTTGCGAATGTTACTTCTCCTTGCTCCGCGTTCTCAGGTTGCTCGCTTGATAATTTGGCATTACCTGGCTTGCATAATTTGCATCTCCTAGAAGCAAAACTTCATGTATTGGGTGGATGTAAACGGAGACCACCCGCAGCAGATGATGGACCATCATGCGGCAAATGAGCAAACAGCGAGCGCTCTTCGAATACTACATGAACAATCAGCGACACCAGCTGCCAAGGGTATATTTTTTTACGTTAATCTGTTACACATGGTGAAGGATAGTCACTAGAAAGCCAGCTTGGCTTCAGGACATCCCAGGTCAGAGTTAGCAGATTTTGAATTCATTCTTCAAAATTCCCTAACAAATGTACCACCGGGAATTGGCCCTGGCTGTTTGAATAGTTTTTAAACAAACTTTCTAATTTGTTGATTGTTATTATGGGTGACTTTGTTTCACAAAGAAGTAATGTTAAGATCTTTATTGAGTACTTTTGTACCGGTCAACGGTTAACGAGCTCTACATGAGTTACATGAACCTTTTTGATGGCCAAGGTGTTACAAAATAAAACTTTTTATTAGTTTTGTTTTTACTAATAACCTTTTTTAGGTCGGGTGGCTCGTGCTCATCTGGCTGCCGTCTCTATGATGAATACTATGCAACCACACTCATAAATTCCATCCGTTTCAACAGCAAACTCCCAATGGTCGAAGAAGCAGTTGGCAAACGCCACGAGGTCGGACCTCGATACCACACGCTTACCTACATGGGAGGCGGTGCTTTTGCGAACAGCGTGTGTGTGAGTTTGCATCTCTGTAATCTTTTGGGCAGTCTTTAGTGCGGCTTTTGATTCACACGCTCGTAAACGTAACGTTATCGTAAAGATTTAACACATTCGAGTACCAAACTTTCTATCAACAAACTGTGCGTGGAGTCCGGTGAGTCTGATGATTTTGCCGAAACATGAAAATGTTTGTATTCTTTTTAATAAATGTAATTTTGATTTTAGATCACTTTACATCCGGGCAAATTATGATCCCTTCCCAGATTAATACCATGAAAGACATGTAATTGAAATAAAGTTTCCTTGAGGTTCAACAAACGGATTTAGATACATCGTTCAATGTTTGATGGTACCGACTTGGTACAAATTGTTGAAGATTCATCAGCTCAGCGAAGACCATGTGTGCTACTTCTTATATCATTTGTTGCGATGATTAAAGTTAGTTCGATTCTTATCTCAAAAACTACTTGATTCTAGATACATTCATTCGGCAAACGTTATCCACCGCGATCTGAAGCCATCAAACCTTTCGCTCAACAACACTTGCGATTTGGAAGATCTGCGACTTTGGCTCGGCAAGTGCGTGTTACCGATCCACAGCATGATTGCACTGGATACTTGACTGAATATGTTGCTACAAGGTATGTTTTATAGTAAAATGGTTATTTTTAAAAATTCTTTTGCTTTAGGTGAAATGGTGCGCCTGAAATTATGCTCAACGCAAAGGGATACACAAAAGCGATCGATATCTGGAGCGTTGGCTGCATTTTCACGAAAATGCTCGGCAGACGTCCATTGTTAGTTTATCTCATTCATCTCTTAATGTTTATCATTTAGATTCCCTGGAAAGCACTCACTGGATCAATTGAATCTCATTCTGGAACGTGTTGGGGAACACCGTCGAGGGAGGACCTCGAAAGCATCGTCAACGTGAAAGCGCGTGCCTATCTGGATGTCATTGCCCATCAAAGAGAAACAGATACATAACTGACTTTACCCTAATGCCAGTCGAAACGCTCTGTGATTTGCTTGATAAGGTTGGTTTGTAAAAAATACTTTTTGTAATATACTTTTTGGATATTCATTGAAAAAAGCAGTGATAAATCGATGTTGAATGGCGTTTAAAATTTTATTTTTTAGTTGCTCAGTTTCGATCCGGAGAAACGAATGACCGTTGAGCAGGCACTCGCACATCCATACTTTGCTGGTTATTACGATCCAACTGATGAGGTATTTTCTGTTCATTTTATTTTAATTAATTTTTGTTTAGCCAACTTGTGGTCAACCTTTTCAATTTCATGAGATCGAATTGGACAATCTGCCAAAGGATGAATTGAAACGATTTAATTTTGGAGGAATCTGAGGCCAAATAGCTTTGAACTGATCATTAATTATGGTGCATTATAGTATGAATTTAGTATTGTACAACCATTATCTTTTTTTCAGTTGCTTCATCGTGCCATCATTGCAGAGCCGGAAATGTTGACGCCGGTTTCGATTGATGGAAAGTGAACACAAAACAGATTGTTCGCACTGATGGTTCGAGTTTGTTTTTGGTTTTGTTTGTAGAAATGTTTGAATGTTGTCTTGTGCTATTTTTTTATTGTTGGACACATTTTATTTCCCCGGTTGTATGTTTCTTTTATAGGTGGAAAGCGTTTGTATAAATTTAAAAATTTTCTAATATTCGTCTTAAAAGTCATGTGCGAGATCATTCGTAGTAGCATGTGACGGGGAATTTTTCGACTTGGCACCATAATTTGCGTCCAAAAGCAGGGTAATTATGGTGTTACGAGTTCCAGATGTAAAAAGATCTATGATAGCGAAGTTCCTTTACAATATCGACCAAATCAGGGTCAAATACATATGTTGTACCTCCTTGTGAACAAAAACGTGTCACCCTTTTCAGAAATTCTTCCACTACACACCTCAAACGAGTAACTCCTCGATCGCATGGTTCAGCCCCACCGGAAAAAAGTGTCATTTCAAAATTGCTAGGTTCAGCTTCTTGAAAATCAGCCAAAAAAGTTGATCCTTTTATTTTATGAGAACAATGAGCAATCTGGGAAAATTATTGGTCATCCTGATTTGTTTCTGATTTTTTCGAACCACCCTCGGCAAAAAAGAGTGAAAAGAAAAGGGACCGCCTCTTTTCAGAATACGGTAATGATAGGAAGAAACTTTTTGCGATTATATAAAGGAAATTTGAGATCCGGATTCGGATTACAATGTTTTCCCGGTTTGAGTAAAAACGCTTTCTAAACGATACTCATGGGGGACAGTTACCGTACTTCGGATCTTTTTAGCTTTATACAATTGATTAGCCTTTTTCGCCTTTATCTGCTTGAGGGCTGAGACTAATAAAGTCTAAAAATGAGGCTTCTACTTTAGCTACTAAGTCCGCCAAAATGAGGTTACAGTAGCTTGGCTTAGAGAGCAGCTTTTAGAAAACGAAAAAAGAAAATCAGTTTTTTTGAAACAAATAGTTCTACTTTCAGATAATTCTGTTATGATGTTTGGATTGTCTCTCATGCAATTGTGCCTGTGTTTCCTATTGGGATCAACCTTGCTCACGTGTGCTCAAACGGATGATGAGGTTTGAAATGAAACTTTTAATTAAAGCTGTCCCTATTCTCTTCTTCTACCATAATCTGTCACCTATTTTCTCATCCAATTCATCGATTTCTTTTTTTCCACCTAATTTTTTGAGAGTTCACAAAGGATAGGATAAAAATGGAGACAAGATTGCGGTAGAAAGAGAAAGGAGTAACGGTTTAGGAAACTAAAGAAATCAACATTCTACTGGAAACTGAGCAAAAGTGTTTTTTGAACACTTTTGTGCTCTTTAATCTCTTCCTCCCTGCAATTTTCTGTTTTTTCTTTATCCTTTGAATTTTTGATCGCAGAGAGAACTATAAGGCTACGCAAAATCCCCACTTTTTATCAGCTATAAAAACAGAAAAATCCTCAAAAAGTGGTTGATCGTCCCTGGCTGTGAAGCTAGCTCAACGTATAATGAAAAACAAATGTTTTTTGTCTTTTTTCCAGATTTTCCATTTATATCATCGGATTTCAATTCCTGATCCTTCCAAATTACATAATAACCTTTTTTAAGGCTGGTGATTCGTATCGAGCTAAATGAAAAGAGAAAAAATGAGAAAAACTATCAAGCCTCTTTTTAAGGGTAAAATCTTAAATTTAAGACTTCATTGAATAATGTACAGTAATCCTAGTAAAGATTTTTGACTCATGAATACGATTAAGTTCTCTTTTTGAAACGATAAAATTGGTAGTCACTTTTTTGATCCCCGAAACATCAAATCATCTCCCCCATTTTTTTTTCCTATCAAAAACCTATAAAAGTAGCTAAACAAATCCCCCATTTTACCGGAAACTAATTTCCCATGAAAATAAAAATGATTTCAATTTCCGAATTGCTTCCCAGAAAATAATTTGGGTTATTAATAAATTTCTTGGCAAAAAAGTTTATAAACTTAACAGACCGGATGTGAAAAAGTCGTGGGAAAATGTTGGGAGGCTGAGCGCTCTTGGGAAAGTTTTGAGTTTCAAGTACAAATTTTGAGAACAGCGATCAGAAATTGGAGTACAAAAAGGTGGATTCGGATTGGGGATCTGGAATCAAATTCTAAAGATCTTTGACCATTTTGATAGTAAACTGCTGAGGCCAAGGTGATTCGTACCAGTGATGCTTCAAAGATACCTAGTTTTTTGGATCATGCCATACTTTGGCCAGGGCCAGATCTTGGCTGACTCTGGCTTCTAGTCTGGACCTTTTCTGGTCTGACTTTACTGTTCACCTGGCCAAGATAAGGCTCCCGTGAATCCAGATCAGTTAGGAGATCTTTCATTGGACCTCAGCCAAGGAAGAGCTCAGTCTGATCAAGAGTGAGTGGGAATCTCCCCGGTGCCCTCAAAGAAAGGACACGAGAACGAAAAGTTGTTGAAATTTCGAGTGTTCGATAGCTGATACAAGTCTGGTCTAGTCTGGCTTACAAATCCTTACAGATCATGCTAAAGATCTCTTCTTACTTTCTTGGATTTTAAAGGCCACACCTAACTCCACTCGAATCCGATGTGGCGCTTTCTGTGTCCTCATCACGGCTGCAAAATGATCGACCGTAAGCTTTTTTATAGTTTAAATTCAACTTTGCTAACAATCATAGTTTGAAAAGTACAGTAATCTAAAGCTTAGTCAGATTTGTTGTTTGTTTAAAAAGCATCTATTCAAGTTTACTACATTCGCCAGAATAATCCGAGTTTTTGCGTTCCCAAAAAAAACATTGCCCACAGAACTCAATAATTTCCGCCATTCACAAGAATCTTTTGGGAAATGGCTGATTGCTTTTTCTACATGGCTCAAAAATCTTCTTCCCTAAATCAGCTGAATTGAGTAGACCGGGAATTACTGGTGAGAAACTTTGTCTCGTGAGTGTAGTTTTTTTCATCTTTCTCAAATATAATTAAGATCATTTTATGAAATTCCACCTGGAAAATGCCCACTACAATTCTTGAATTTGGTGAGAAATTAGGAAATTCTGAGAGTTCTTGGGAAATTTCTGAACGAAAAAGCTTTTGGTGGGAGAAATGAATGAGATTACTGCAACTTGAGAAATTGAATGGAAATGGAAACTTTTAGAATGGTTTAACTAAAGAAGTGCGCTAGAAAGCTAGTGTTTAATTCACTGCCAGTACTAAATCTGGAATTTATTAGAAATACAACTGAACAATCATTTCTAGAAAAGGAATCGCTTACCGGTTTGGTGGATTTGTCGGTGATCGAACGAGAAGTCGAGATTGATATCTACAAATGGCATTCGAGAGAAATACTGAACAACAATCGATTCTATCGCTGTGTTTGCTGGAGGTTGGTCAACAATTGCTTCAAAGATTCAAAGATTCAAAGAATTTTGGTAGGAAAGCCAATCTGCCTTTTGTCAAGTACTTTGAGTTCAAAAACGCAAACGAAACGCACTCTTTCTGTGTTGGCATTCAATCCTTCAATCAATCATTTCCAGCGCTGCAACGGCACGTACAAATCTCCGAAAACCGAGTACATTTTTCCGTTGCGTTTAGCAATTCGGATCGTTGCAATCGACACTCGAATCTGCACACGTTCATCAAAGGACTCAAACATGATAATCCATAAGAAAAAAATACCCAACAATTTGGCACATAGGAACATTTCGTTGTTGAAAATTTGATTTTTACTTTGACCATAAATACTCCGTAATAGTACCCCACCCCCCTCGTACAGTCGCGTAGTCGTAAAGTTTTTTGTATTTCATTTTTTTCAAAGCACCCGTACTTTCAAAAATGCGTCTTTGGTATCAAAAAAATAGCCCTGAATTTCAGCTATTTTTGATACCTAAACGCGCAATATAGCATAAACTAGTGTCGAGAAAAACGCGCCCAAAGCTAGACTACGCAACGCTCCGCACCGTCATTATCAGGGTGGGGTACTATTACGGTATTTACGGCTGCATTTCCACTTTCACACCTGTTTTAGGCAATTTCTTTTACAGACTTTATCGCTGTAGACTTTAAAAATTCATATCTGTACAGATTGAGTGCAAAATAAACTTTAAAAATCGACAAGAATGCAGAGAAAATTCAGGAATTTCAAAGTAAAACAATGAAATTAGAGTGAAAATGGAAAGACTACCGTACCGTAAGACTACCGTATCGTACTGTACCAAAATAAACTTAACAATCGACAAGAATACTGAAAATTCTAAAGTTCAAAGTACAACAATGAAATTGCTCGACGTTACAGTGGAAATGGAAAGACTACCGTACCCCAAGCTGTCTGATTCTAAAACACATCAACGGCCTTAATTTAAATAAGAAGAATTGCCAACTTTTTCCGGTAGGCTACTTTCCGCTATTTAACAAGACCATTTGCGGCAAGTACGTTTGCGCAACTTTTTTTTCCGCAATAAGGTGATTTGCTCATATCTCGCTATTTTCGAAAAAGGAGTTGGAATCAGGCAAATCACGTCCACACTAATCGTTTATCCATAGAATTAGAATTTGGTTTTTTGCTAACTTTATTTGTTACTTGTTTTATTGAGCTTATCCTTTCTTGATTTCAGGGCACCGAGATGCCTCCATCGCTTACCAAAGCCTAATCTGCCACAGGTTTCCATTCTGTCTTGATCTTAAATGTCCTCTCGTTTAGCTCAAGCTAACTGGTTCAGGATGGCCCAGACAGCACATGTGGTATTGGACTCGACCCCGGACGCGCAACACTCGCCCAAAAGGAAAGGCATAGTGACACCGTGGAAGAGATTGGTGAATTTTCAAAGATGCTTGAACGGATTTTCGAGTCAATTTCGTTTTTTTAGGCAATCTTCTGAAGAAGAGGAGTCACGTAGAAATCATGAGGCGGATGTTGCTAAAAACAAGTGTAAGTGGTGTTGAACCCTCTATCAGCTTTTTGCAAACATTACATTTCAAGTTTTTAAAGTTAAAGTTGATATGATTGACGGTTTTAGACTGCAAGCCACATGGCTGAAATGGATCATGGAGCAGCACGTGTCGATTTGCACTTCAAAACGGCCCTCAAGTTGGCGTTTGGCCTAATGCACGATGAAACGGAGATCAAAGTGAGGGCATCAGGCAAAAATCGTACTCTGGGACCTATCTGACGCAGGAGGCACTCCAAATCTACCAATTTCTTTGCGACAAGAAAATCACACCATCAGGTTGGCTATATTTGTGTTTGCGGAAGAGCAAATTCTTTTTTTGACCTCCCAGGAAAAGGTCGTGACAAATTCAAGCTCCAGGCGATCCAAACAATGTCGTCTTCGAGTATACAAGCGGACGCGGCCGACGTCAATTTTCATTGGTCGATTTGGAGGCCAAATTCGAGAAATACAGAAGCGCCCAGAGCCCAACCGCCATTTGGGATGAACGTAACTTTTTAAAGCGAGAACGCTGGATTAAATCGTAAATTTAGTGTTCCGAGAGTGAAAACGATGACCCTATGGTCTCTAGTGTTAAAGCAATTCTGGCAATTCCGAGGAATCTACGACCTGATCAGGTAAATCTGGCGGTGAAAAACGAACCTTAAACTGATTTTAGGTGGGACAGCTCCTACGATTGGATGGAGATTTCGCCTCATCGTTATCGTGAGGAGGTCAGCATGTACGGTCGCCCCTCCAAAGTGACTCTCAGCCTGGTGAACGCCGGTCTTTCAGAGCCATTAATTGACCACTTTGCTAGCGAAACCGGAATGTTTGTTTTTGCCTAAACGTGACTCTTTGACATTATTTCCTAGTTGGCCTACACATGCAGTTCAAATTGGCGACGGTACCGGCGAATTCGAGCTTCTAGGTTGCTGCATGGCATCTTATCGATATAAATAATGCTGGCAAACACTTTTGGCCAGAGCGCCCTGAGGTCAGCTTTTAACGATATTTAATTAGCTTTGTTTTAGAAGAACAAAAGAAGAACGCCAACGTCCAAAACCTTAACGAAACCAAGACGAACAGGAACAGGAGGATGAGGTCTTCAGCGGCGACGTGAATCGCCTGAACCCAGCAAAGATTAATGATGGAGATCACGAAGAGATTGGAGATCCGTTAGTATTCTTAAATTGTTGTCACCAATTATTATCAACTGTAGGGAGCTCGATCAAAGTTTTGAGAAAGCTGTCTCGAACCACTCTGTCAATACGGCAATTCTCAACGATGCGGCCAAGGCTACTTTGCGAGACGAGTCCCTGGATGTGACGCAATCATCTGTAGCTGAGAACGAGCTGAATGCTTGTAAAACGGTTTTAATTGCAATACCTTGTACTCTAAAGTCGAAATTTTAGAAGCCGAGAGCTGGTCAAGATGTGGATACGATTACTGCTTCTAAGGAAGAAATCGATGATTTAACAAAGTATTTGCTAAAATAACTTTTGCACATTTCCACTGTTTTAGATTAATGGCCGAAGCATCTTTTGGAACTCCAAGCATGACTTCAAATGAGGGCACGGAGCACATGCACCTTTGAGGTGGCGCTCTTGTAGTTTCAATGGAATAAAAATTTGTTTAGACTAAAAAATCTCATTTGGCGAGATTCCATTAAGAATTGTGCTGCAAAAGGTGAATGGTGCGTGCCCACTTCTTGCGATTGTCAATGCTTTGGCTCTTAAAGGTAATTTGTGAGCCGATTATAGTAAAACAACGAGCGTTTAGGTCGAATCAAACAGGCAGTTGATGAAGAAGGCAATTATAACAAGGTAGGGGGTTTTGAGTTTAAAACAAATTATGGTATATTTAGGCGTTGACTGATGTGATCAATTTGATTCCGACTCTTAACGAAGGCTTTGATAATTAACGTCGGATTTTCCCAGTCCACATGTAAGTTAATAGCTTAATTCGTTGACATGAAATTTTAGGATTTCGAATTCACACCAGCTTTGTCATGGCTCGAATTGGTGAGCCTCAATCTTGTTCATGGATGGCTGCCCGACCCACAACTTCAGGCATGTTGTGAGTTATTTTATTAATCCAATTAACATAAAACGTGTTAAGGCACTCTTTTTGGATCAATGAGCTATACGCAAGCTCAAATCAAAATGATCGAAAAAGGAGGCGATACTGACGGACTGATCATCGGAGAATTTTTGAACACGACTGCCAATCAGCTCACTTATTATGGTGAGTTGGTTCTTATTTATGTTATGTTTTTGTCATTTAGGTATCGCCGAGGAGGATGGGAGCTTGACCGTTATGAACCTTCTGAATCTAGCTGAAACGAGTGGACGCAACGACAAGACAAACATTGGCACCGCCGCGCAGGTATGATCTCCCTTACGTAAAAAGTACTTTGGTCTTAATAATTGGAGCATTTCGTCAGGTTTGTTTTAGAAGAACGCCAACGTCCAAAGCGCTATCGCCGTGTTCGGCATGCAAGACGAACAGAAACAGGTACATACTATACTATACTAAGTACAATTGGCAATTGTTATTGTTTTTCGATATCACCTATCTTTTAGCTCTCAGAAGGAAACAAAACGATTGGGAAACAAAACGAGGGAAAGTACAATTGGCAATTGATTGGGAAACAAAACGAGATTGGTCAAATGATCGTGAGTGCTCAGACGAAGCAAGATTCAAGGTTGGTTAATTCATTACAATTAAAAACCAGTACATTATTAATACAATTCTTTTAGGACTTGCGGATGCTTCAAACCTCTTCTGGTGGGCTTCATGATGACCGTCACCATCGTCTTCTTCGCCTCGCTCGTCACCATCGTCTTCTTCTTGGTGAATGTCACAAATGCGCTCTATGATCGACAGCAAAACATTGAAAGATTGCTTTCGTTGTAGATTTTTGGTCTTCCCCTTCATTGTTTGTGCATATATCTCTATCTCTATTCTTTGTTTTTCTTTTCCAAAATTATTTTAGCATTCAATGCCAATTAGTGATCTATTTTTTATTTGGTTTTACTCGGTTTTAGACTGTCATCTTGCAAATTTCGAATGTTTCTTTTTTTTATTTAGTTGAAAGCTTTAAGGCACAAAGTGCCAAAAATTATGTACATTGACTTCAAAATGTTATTAAAAAGCCAATGGGAATTGACAACTTTGCATAAAAGTTAAGGACTTGTGGATGTAAAAGAAAACGCGTTTCAGAGGTCAAAATTCGTTAAAAAACATAAATAGAGGCAAGCTTGTCGGAAAATCGGGTATATCGTTTTGGGGCAGTGGGAAGAGATAAAGGATAAAATTACAAAAAAGCTGATAAACTCAAAAATAAGTCAATTCCATTGTGCTGTTGATCTACTTGAGTTCCCGAAATTTCTTGGTAGACAATCATTGCGTAAACTGACCGCATTTTGAGATCTCCATTCGAGTAAGCACGAATGAGAAAATCCGCTTCTTGGTAGGGCTCAAATGTTGAGGGAACGACAACGTATTCACCGGGCGGACCACGGGGAAACGAACGGTCACCTAGAGAGCGGTGAACAATTCTAATCCATTTTAAACGTGCCAGCTTTTCGACTTCGCCTTCGACCCCGTTCTTTGCGTTCGTGAGCGACTATTGGAATTGTGGATTCTTCGGGAAAGTGGCTAAAAGAAAGAATTCCTTTTGCATAGGCCACTGTAGAGCCTTTAGCCAATAAAATTAGATAACTTTCTTTTCAACTCACAAATATAATTGATACATCCCCCAGCGGTGTTCGCTTGACTGCTCCACGAGCCACCACATTGATCCTCTTGCCAGCTGGAAAGTGACGAGTTAAGATATGGTGACGAAGGGTTTAAAGATTTGAGATTATTAGGGAAGTTTGTTTTTGTTTGTTTTTTTTGTTTGTTTTTGTCTTTTTTGTCCCATGCAAACACCCACGATCCAGTCTCTTTCCCATCATCGCGCACCACTCCCGTCATTCGCTCGACTCGTCTTCAACCTAAAAACTTTTGATACAAAGTTGATAACTTGAATCAAGTACAGTAAGCTCATTGATGTGTTTTAATAATTGATCAATTGCTAACTCAAAAAACTCACATCGGCCGACAAGTTACACACTTCCAACTGCTCGAATGAGAATTCTTAAAGTCCACTTTGCATACACTTTCTCGACAAGCACTTACTCCTTGCCCACCAGCTGAATATCTTCTAGTTTCGTGGGGAATTTCAAAGAAGATGGGTCACTTCCGTTTTCTCTTTACCCTTTGAATCTTTGATCGCCGAGAAGACTATCGAGACAAGATTACGGTAGAAAGCGAAAGGAGACACGGTTTTAGGAAACTAAAGAAATCAACATTCTACTCCAAAACAAAGCAAAAGTTTCTACACTTTTGTGCTCTTTAATCTCTTCTTCCCCTTCAATTTTCATTTTCTCTTTATCCTTTGAATCTTTGATTCCGGGAGAGAACTATAAGCATAGGCAAAATCCCTACTTTTTATCAACTAAAAAAGTGATTGATCCTCGCAAGCGGTGCCAAACAAATTATAACAAAAAAAACAAATGTTTTCTGTCTTTTTTTTCCCTTTTCCATTTATATCATCAGATTTCACCTGATCCTTTCAGAATTAAATAATAAACTTTTTAAGGCCGGTGATTCGTATCGAGTAGAATGAAAGAGAAAAATGAGAAAACTCTTTTAGGGTAATCCTAGATTTTGACTCATTAATACGATAAAAGTTCTTTTTTTGAAACGATAAAATTGGTAAGTCAACTTTTGTTCTCACTATTTTTTTTTGTTCCCCAGGAAACATCAATCATCTCCCCCATTTTTTTCCTATCCAAAACCTCTTAAAGTATACGAATCCCCATTTCACCGGAAATTAATTTCCCATGAAAACGAAACGATTTCAATTTCCGAATTGTTTTCCCAAAAAAGCTTCTGAAAAAAAGCTTCTGAAAAAAAGCTTCCCAAAAAAAAGAAAGCTTAGTACACATTTTAGAGCAGCGATCAACTGTTCCAATCGAGGCTCTACGATTTACCTGTTCAGAAAATAGATATCGGATTTAAAATGATACATTACCCTTGTGTATCTTAAATCCAAGTGAATAGGATCAATTCTTCATTGATCATCTTGATCTTACAGTGAGTCCGGATTGAGATTTCATGATCGAGCACTCTCTTTTAGCCTACCCTTAGATGGGTGGGACTAGATAAAAGAAGAGTGTGAGCTAGAAACTCTTTCACTGAGCTCAACCAAGAAAGAGTTCAGTCTATCGCTGTGTTTGTTGAAGGTTGGTCAACAATGGCTTCGAAGCTCCAAACTGCTTTGGTTCTCAAAGTTATCTCAAATCTAATGTTGATTTGAACAGTTTGGCTCTATTAGTTACGTCTAAGGATCTGATTTTTATTGTTAAAGTTACCGTAAATACTGTGATTAAACGGCACCCTCCGGCAATTGCACAATTGCGTACAATTGTACAATTTAAATGTAATATTTCTTTATTTTTTTCTTAAAAATTACTTGCATCTAACATCTTTTATCATAAATTTTTATGAGTTTTTATTTTTCCTTTTATTATATTATTATAAGTATTAAATTTTTTTAGATATAGATATAGAACTCGTTTTTGATGTTTGATGTGTTTGATGGAATCGAGGAATTTCGGGCTCGACGAAACTATGGGGGAAACGAGGAATGCTTCAGGGAAAATGTGTGATGAGCTCACCGAGCAAGATGCCAACGAAAGCTCGGCCAACGCTGAACCCGAGGGATCTTCATGTGAAGCAGATGAGCCACCTACAAAGAAAGAGAGAAAAGCCAACGATATGAAGACGAAACTAGCTGCTGAAAAGATGGCCAAAAGATGTTTCGATCCAAGATGCAAGATTTTAAGGTTCCTCGGAGCTGCGTCCAATCTTACGTCCAAAGCCGCCCTCAATGGAAACATACTTGAGATGGATTGTCCAGGTCTATAGGGTACTTTGAGGATCTGAACTCAAAATGAGTCAAGATCCTCAAAGTACTCTCCGAAGAGATGATTCGAAATTCTTTGAAGTGATGCGGGATCAGAATTGCAGAAAATGGAGATGATGACCACCTGATCCACTGTTTCAAGTCATTTGGATCGATTTCTTCAGGTTTACATGTTTACCTTATCGATTTAATTATCTGATTTTCTGTTTGTTATAGATGCTCGGATGGAGAAGGAAATCGAAGATCTTGAGCCGCTCGCATAAACGGATTTCAAGAACACCGACGAAGCAATGATCAAGAAGTAAATGATGAATTCATTGATTCTGATGTTTCTATTGATTGCGATAGTTGAATTGTTCATTTTCTTTGTTATCGCTTGTTGTTACAAATTGAATAAAATTTTAAGAAAAGTTTGATTTTGTCAAAAAAAAACTATCTGAACGAATTCGGCTTTAGCAACTTGGAATATCGGTAAGAATTGAATGGTACGCTCTAATAGAATGGCAGGGATAGAGGGGGGAGGAAAAAAATAGAACGGCATGCAAATAGGGTATTTACGGTAATTCTTTCTGTTTTTATTTGCATTATATTTGTTAGAATAAACCTTATGCAGTTAAACAAGATAAAAACATCGAGGAAGCGATAAAAGGACGTTCCTATTGTCATAAAAAGTAACCTTATGCAGTTACACAAGATAAAAACATCGTGGGGGGAAGCGATAACAGGACGAAACGCCTATTGTCATAAAAAAGTAACCTTATGCAGTTACACAAGATAAAAACATCGGGGAAGCGATAAAAGGACGTTCCTATTGTTATAAAAAGTAATTATACCAAAAAAACATCGAGGACGCGATAAAAGGACGTTCCTATTGTCATAAAAAGTAATTATAGCAAAAAAACTGAAGAAATGATGAATTTTTGCTGAAAAATATGCATTTGTTGTGATTTGGGGATGAAATGTACACAAAACCATTGAAATAACTCAACAGTCTGTCTTGTGCGAAAAAAATAATGAAATTGCTCAACGTTACAGTGGAAATAGAAATACTACCGTACCCCAACGCTGTCTGATTCTAAAACGCATCAACGGCCTTCATTTATATGAGAAGAATTGCCGGGAGTGGGACAAAAAAGGTCGCATTTGTCCCACTCCCGAATCGCAACTTTTTCATTCTCGTGTAGATTTTGTTGTTTTACCGCTTTCGGTACTAAGGCAGTTGGCGGGGCACCTAAAATTTTCTCAAATTTAGTTTTTCTAGGGTAATTGATGACGCTGTTCATGAAAAACATTTTTAAGCTATTCTTTTTCATTTACTTTTACGTAGGCGCCATATATATATTTACCTAGGCTTTGGCTTCGCACCTTTACCGTGCCGAAGGCTCTCGTGTGACTGCAGCACCTCAGAACGCGATGGTCGCTAAGAAAGCCGGAAGATAGCGGCCTTGGTGTGTAAGTCGCGCCGATCGATGTTGGCCGTTAGGCTCACACAAAGCCCGCTACCTTCAGGCTTCTAGCGGACGGCGCAAATGCGACACAGATTAAGTAAATAGAAGCGAATAAAGTAAATGCTGCAGTCATGTCACAAGGGCGCCTTCGGCGCGGTAGAGGTACAGGTACAGAGCCAAAGCATAAGTAAATAGGCTTTGACTTTGGCGCTGGCGACTATGTAAAAGTACGTGGAGTGGGGAAGTGAACTTAATATTTAGGAAAATGCATGTTTTTAATTGAAAACATAACTTTAAAATATTTTTTTTCGTGAATAGCGCCATCAATTGCCCTAGAAAAACTACATTTAAGAAAATTTTGAGTCCTCTTCCCCAACTGCCTTAGTACCGCGCTTTCTGCTTTGTCATTTTGGTACATTAACGCTTTTATATTTACAGGCAACGAGGCAATGGAGTGGAGCAATCGAGTCAGCGAATCGAAGTTGCGCCCTGTGGTTGCGAGGAGAGCGTGCAGTTGCGACATGTAAGTTTGTGATTTTGGTCGTTTTTGGCAAAATTAGGATACCCGAAGTACTATAGAAGCTTGTCTAATATAATATTCTAATGTCTTGGTTGAAAAGCTTAGCCGAATTGATGATGTCATCTGTTAGATAGATAGTAAAATTCTTAAGCTTTATTTAATATAAAACTTTTTAGAGAAACAACTCACTACAAGAACAGCTCCAATATCTCACAGATGTCGTTGGCACCCGAACGAAGATCTTCGTCAAAAGAATGATCATTTGAGGCTGATAGCAAGAAGTTACGACGGGACGTTGAAGTAATCTTTAACATTTATGGTTCAACGGAGAATATTGTAAAGAAAAGGACTGCAAGCTAAGTTTGTTTCATTTAGATTCTGAAGGGAGGTCATCAACTTCACGCCGATGTCATGAACAACGCCTTGATCTATTCCTCGGACGCTATTTGGGAAGGATGAGCCAACAGGGAAAAAAGTGAGAGTGTTGAGAATAATTGTTGGTGTAAAGGGAGTTAGGTATGATCGATAGAAATTAAAGCTGGATTTTTAAACGTGACCGTTCACTCGCGCTAATCTTGAATAACTCAAGTGTAATAGCAAGACATGTAAGATGTATGGGTTAGACAGGCCCAGTCCCCTTGCGCCAAGTTGATATGAGAACATATAGGGTTTATAAGTCGTAAAAGCATTGTTAAACTTTTTAGAACGGGATGTAACTTATTTCTTTTAGGAAATGTCTGGTGCTGATGTTCAAACTGAAGACTTCGGACATCTCGAGGATGGATGCACTGTGTGTACAACCATTGAGGTAAAGGTATTTTCATTTTCTCTATATATCATACGATTATGAATCACTAAACGGTAAAATTAAAAACCAACTTTAGGCGATTGGAGCACATTGTCAACAACTCCTGGATGAGCAGACCGCAATGGAAAAAGAGCTGGGGGTAAACGCTTTAAGTATTGCTTTTAAAAGTTTTTCTTTTAGTCAGCTACACGAAAGATTGCGATGTTTGTTGAACGTTTAGAAATGGAATTGGCGGCTAAGCAGGTATTTTCATTTTCTCTATATATCAATGGCGATTATGAATCACTAAACTGTAAAATTAAAAACCAACTTTAGGCGATTGAAGCACATTGTCAACAACTCCTGGATGAGCAGGCCGGAATGGAAAAGAGCTGAGAGTAAACGCTTTCGGTATTGCTTTTAAAAGTTTTTCAGTCAGCTACACGAAAGATTGCGATGTTTGTTGAACGGTTAGAAATAGAATTGGAGGCTAAACAGGTAATGGACTTGAATAAGTGAACCTCAATGGAATACTTTAGGCTCTTCAAGCTGATTACGACCGTGTCAAGGCTGATCAAGAACAGGTTTGCGCCGTTTTCTTATTGACAAAATTTTTTTTTCTTATGGAGTATCGCTGGGATAATTGCATGACCACTGGGGTAAAAACTATTATCTATGCGGTAAACACTGGTAAAATACCTCTTGTTGTTTGCTCATCGTTTTTCTTTAAGGCATCCTTGCCGACGTGTGAACCTAAATTTATCAAATTAATCATTTTAAAACAACAAAAAACAAACAAAAATTACACAAAAAAATTAGACTGAATTTCATGAATAAAAAGTCAAGAGCTTCTTTTTTGACCCCAGAACTTGACACTATCAACGAGAAGCTGGCCGAATGGTGCGACGCCAGCTAGAACACAAAGCTTCCAAAGTCCCTTGGCAACAGACGATTGCATCATATGGTCATGAATGCCGTTTCTCTTTCGATTCATATCCTTGTTTGCGTATTCATATCCAAAACGTTCAATTGTTTGCGTGTGAATCGTTGCATCAGGCGCGACAAAATTTGTGCTGTGATTAACTCACGACCATGAATAATCCGGGTCGTTTGCAAGTTGTCGAGAAGCTCTCCACCCATCGGAAACTAGACAGTTCCTGGTTTGATATGCTGCCTAATTGCAGCCAAAAGTGTCTTAGCTGTTCTATCCGGTACCACAAAGCAAAAGATTCTCAAGCGTAAATACAGTGATCACACTCCCACCTTGTGCTCGAATTCCCATAGTGTCCACATCCACAAATCATCTTTTGAATGATGTTTTTCTCAAGGGAAAAGTTGATCATTCCTCTTTCATTCAGTTCACAGATATCAGGAAAGCGTAACAAGGTCGTGCTGTTGAATTCGACATTCTTCCGAGCCTAAAAGAAAAAAATTAGTGAAAAGTCATAAATAACGTAATAAAACGTAACAAACAGCGCAACAAAAGTAATTAATAAGGACCGGAAAGAATGCGACAAACAGCCACTGCAAATTTAAAAGCAACATATTCAATTTGTTTGCTGAATATTCTTACACATCTGATAGTAATCTTCCTCAGCTATAATGAAATTACCCCAGCGATACTCCACAAGCATCAATTTTTTGTTTAGTTCCTTCTCGAATTCGAAGAACTTGTGGATCCTTTATCGAAAAGCTGTTGAGGTTTTTGATACTTATGCATATCGATATATCTTTCATTTAGCAAAATGAGAAGCTTCGCGATGGAAATGGAAAATCAAGGGCTGGTCACGTTAGGGAGCAGTGGAGCTTTGGATCAAGCGTTTCGATCGGATTTCGATTCGGTAATTTTTAATATCTTTGAGCTAAATGTCGAGGTTTGGTACATAGTTATAGGTACATACTAGGTACAATTGACGAATTGTTATTGTTTTTGATATCACCTATCTTTTAGCTCGAAGAAGCTATTGCGAGGACAAAACGATTTCGACCAAAGGATCGTCAATGTTCTGAAGAAGCAAGGGCCAGGGGTTGGTTGATTCATCACAGTTAAAAACGAGTACAATTGTTAAAAGCAATCCCTTTAGGACTTCAGGATGCTTCAAGCCTCTTCTGGTGGGCTTCTTGGTAATCGTCATAGTCTTCTTCGCCACGCTCCCTTCCGTTTCCGTCTCCATCGACTCAACCAACCCAAATACACTTTATGATCGACATCACTACGCCTGAAATTTCCTTCCGTTCTAGATTTTTGGTCTTTGGCTCCATCGTTCGTGCATATATCTCGATCTATCCATTCTTTGTTTTCCGTTTTCCAAAAATTATTTTAGCATTCAATGCCTGTTTTACTCCGTTTTCGACCGCATTAAGGCACAAAGTGCCAAAAATGTATATTCACTTCAAAATTTTATTAAAAAGCAAATGGAAATTGATAACTTTGATGCATAAAAGTATAAGACTTTATCGATGTAAAAGAATACGCATTTCAAGAATCACAATTCGTTTAAAACCGGAAATAGAGGCAAGCTTGTCGGAAAATCGATATCTTTTGGGGCAGTGGGAAGAGATAAAGGATAAAATTACAAAAACAAAGCTGACAAACTGAAAAAAGTCAAGTCTATTGTGCTGTTGATCTACTTGAGTTCCCTCAACTGTCTTTTTGTTGGACAATCATTGAACATGTGTAAACTGCCCGCATTTGGAGATCTCCTTTCGGAGTAAGCACGAATGAGAAAATCTGGCTCGAGTCTGAGGTTTTTGGAATTAACAAGTTTTTGAAAAGTTCAAGATGTTTATAGTTTTTTAAAAAGTATTTTGAGTTTCTAAAAGGTTTTTGATCATGAATCTGTTAAAGTGATCAAAGAAGAACCATCAACAACACATAGTAACGGCTGAACACCTCAGAGAAACTTGGCTACTAAACAACGGGAAAACAAGACTAATCTCGTTCAAAAGACTTTGAAAAACGGCAATCTGATAAGTGCACGTCTATAAATGTAAGATCGAAGGCTGTCTTGAGTAGCTTCATGCAGGTGCTTGACGGATGCTTTCAAAGCTCCACAGACAGCTTCCACACCGTGCGTATGGACCGAACGATCTTTAGGATTCACAAAGTAACGTAAATGAAAGTGTATTCACTATGTTTTGTTTTTTTTTATTTACCTATTTTATTCTTTTATTTACTTAAATTTAAAATTGAAACTAACAGCGACAAAAAGAAGAATCATCAACACCGGAATTGGCCTAAAGACCTTGAGTTCCGCATCAAAAGGAAGCAAACTAGCAGCGTCACGGCAAAAAAAAATTCGGTCTTTTTGTTTTCCTCTTTCAATTATTCATTTATCCCAAACACTGACTGGTATTGCCGCTTCAACATTCGTCCTCTATTATATTTTGTTTTGCTTTAAAATTCATCTATCTCAACAATTTTCAATTTTCCCCTGCCCTCCTAGCTGTTGTTGGCTCATCGTTCGAAGAAACCAATTTTCACAAAGCCAAAAATGAAGCCGATTTTACAAGAATTGCCTTTGAAGAATTCTAATAGACTTTGTGGATTTCGGAGAGCTTCGACTTCCTTCTTCCTTTCGGAGAGCTTCGACTTTCTTCCTTCCTTTCGGAGAGCTTCGACTTTCTTCCTTCTTCCTTTCGGAGAGCTCGACTTTCTTCCTTCTTCCTCGGAGAGCTTCGATCTTCCCCGGCTCGACTTTCTTCCTTCTTCCTTTCGGAGAGCTTCGACTTTCTTCCTTCTTCCTTTCGGAGAGCTTCGACTTTCTTCCTTCTTTTCTTCCTGTTTAGCATTGTAGGTCGACCGGATATGAAGATACGTTTGAATGCAAGATCGAGAACGCTTCACAATTGCTACTTCACTCCATCGAAGTGTGTGCAACACATTGACCTAGGAGTATTACGGTAGGAAGATTTCTTTGTTGAAAATTTGCTACATGTTACGTGGAAATGGAAAGACTACCGTACCCTAACGCTGTCTGCTTCTAAAACGCATCAACGGCCTTCATTTAAATGAGAAGAATTGCCAACTTTTCCATTCTCGTGTAGATTTTGTTGTGTTAGTGCTTTCTGATTTCTCATTTGTTACATTCACGCTTTTATATTTACAGGCAACGGGGCAATGAGTGGAGCAATCGGGTCGCGAATCGAAGTTGGGCCCTGTTGTTGCGAGGAGAGCATGCAGTTGCGGCATGTGAGTTTATGGTTTTTGGTCGTTTCTGGCAAATTAGACACCCTAAGTACTATAGAAGTTTTTATAATATGTCTTGGTTGAAAAGCTTAGCTAATATCTTGCAATGGTGCTTGCTTCAAAAGCAGAACAAATTATGACGAGTTGTTGCAAAGTTAGTTTTTGATCAACTTAAATGCTTGGCGGCTTCAAAGGTTTCATTGTTAGTTTGCCAAGTTTGGCTGTCTAATCATCAAATGTTTGACCTTTTCGATCCGTAGAATTTAGAAATATTCGTGTTGACGATGTAATCTGTTACATAGATAGTAAAATTCTATCTAGCAATTGGGGTTGGGGATCTATATTTTTGATTTCTTTACTTTTCGGTTTAGGTGAGTCGTTACGTAGCTGGTGAATCAGCAAGGAAAACTATACCTGTCCCCGATCAGGTCTCCGGGTGCAAGGAAGGCTGGAGCTGGGTGAATCTTGCTATAGCCCGTGCCCGTCAGGACTCGGGGTGTGCTGAACCATGGCTTAGAAAAATAGAAGTTTAATTTTCAACGTGTCGAAATGTCGGTTTTTCAGTTGAGAATCTATGGTATAACTGTCAAATTGGTGCACAGTGCCCTAGATTACTCTGAAATGTGAAGAAATCAAAAATATGGGTCCCCCAACCCAAAAAGTATCAAAAGTATTATTTAAGCTAAAACTTTTTAGAGAAACAACTCACTACAAGAACAGCTCCAATATCTCACGGATGTCGTTGGCAAGGATGAGACTGAGGTAAACTTTGCACATAGTAAAACCTTTAAAAATTTTTTTAGGGTGATCACATGTCTTTGATGGAACAAAACGAAGATCTTCGTCAAAAGAATTATCATCTGGATGCTGATAACAAGAAGTTACGACAGGATGTTGAAGTAATCTTTAGCATTTATAGTTCAACTGAGAATATTTTAAAGAAAGGACTGCAAGTTTGTTTCATTTAGATTCTGAAGGGAAGTCATCAACTTCACACGGATATGAAGAACCCCTTGATCTACTCGTCGGAGCCATTTGGGAAGGATGAGCCAACCGAGAAGAAAGTGGGAGTGATTCACAATGCTTTTGGGCAAAACATGTAAGAAATCATAGTTAGACAGGGCCCAAGTCCCCTTGCACCAAGTTGATATGAGAACATTTAGATTTTATAAGTCATTAAAGCATCGTTAAACTTTTTAAAACGGATGTAACTTATTTCTTTTAGGATATGTCTGACGCTGAAGTTCAAACTGAAGACTTCAGACATCTCCAGGATGGACACGCTGTGTGTACAACTATCAAGGTAAAAAGGTATTGTCATTTTCTCTATATATCATACGATTATGAATCACTAAACTGTAAAATTAAAAAAAACCAACTTTAGATGATTGAAGCACTTTATCAAGAAGTCAAGAATAAACAGGTCGCAATGGAAAAAGACCTTTGGAGTAAACGCTTTAAGTATTGCTTTTAAAAGTTTTTCTTTTAGTCAGCTGCACAAAAGATTGCGATGGTTGTTGAACGGTTAGAAATAGAATTGGCGGCTAAGCAGGTATTTTCATTTTCTCTATATATCAACGGCGATTATGAATCACTAAACTGTAAAATTAAAAACCCACTTTAGGTGTTTGAAGCATTGTCAACAACTCCTGGATGAGCAGGCCACAATGGAAAAAGAGCTGGGGTAAACGCTTTAAGTATTGCTTTTAAAAGTTTTTCTTTTAGTCAACTACACAAAAACGGCGAGGGTTTTTGAACGCTTAGAAATAGAATTGGCGGCTAAGCAGGTAATGGACTTGAATAAGTGAACCTCAATGGAAGACTTCAGGCTCTTCAAGCTGATTACGACCGTGTCAAGGCTGATCAAGACCGTGTCAAGGCTGATCAACAAAAGGTTTGCGCCGTTTTCTTATTGATTAAATTTTGGTTTAGTTCCTTCTCCGGCAAGAACGCGACCAGCAAGAATTCGAAGAACTTCTGGATCTTTGTCAAAGCTGTTGAGGTTGTTGATACTTATGGATATCGATATTTCTTTCATTTAGCAAAATGAGAAGCTCCGCGATGAAATGAAACATCAAAGGCTGGTCACGTTTGGGACTAATGCAGTTTCGGATCAAACGTGTTCATCGCTTGCGCATTCGGTAACTAATGTTTTTAAGCTGAATGTTTGATATTTGTTACATAGTTATGGGGTACAATTGACAATTGTTATTGCTTTCGATATCACCTTTGTTTTAGCTCTCAGAAGCGATTGGGAAACAAAACGAGGTTGGCCAAATGATCGTTAATGTTCAGACGAAGCAAAAACCAGGGTTGTTAATTCATCACAATTAAAAACGAGAATATTGTTAATACAATTTCTTTAGCACTAGCGGATGCTTCAAGCCTCTTCTGGTGGGCTTCTTGGTGACCGTCACCATCGTCTTCCTCGTCTCGCTCGTTTCCATCTCCATCGACTCAACCGACCCAAATGCGCTTTATGATCGACATCACTACATCTAAAATTTGCTTCCGTTATAGATTTTTGGTCTTTCGCTCCATTTATTTGTTTTTATGTTACGAATTTTTTTTAGCATTTAATGCCAATTAAATGACCTATTTTTACTCGGTCTTAGACTGTCATGTTACTAATTTAAAATTTTTTGTTTTATGATTTCTTTGAAATGTTGAATAATCATATATGGTGATGAAATCATGGAAAGAGATCCGAAAGAAAGATTGTTTTAAATTTGCGGGCCAGCTTACCGTGCAATTTCCATCGCCTTCAACCCCGTTCTTTGCGTTCGTGAGCGACAATTGGAATTGTGGATTCTTCGGGAAGGTGGCTAAAAGAATGAATTCCTATTCGATAGGTCGCTCACCAAAACTCCCCATCCGCATTAAAAGCCACTTGTAGCTTCGGCTTCTCCGTTTAGTTCACCGAATTTCACGAAGAATTGTTGTACGACCATACGCTGTTCATTCCTGGAAATGAATTGGAATCGAACAGCAGTGATGCTGTACGCGTGTCCCATGATTAACGCGTTTCTCAGCTGGTTCTCAAAGCTGTTTGGATCGGCCTGAAAAGAGAATCTTACTATTTGTTAATTCAGTAATTCACTATTTGCTAGCTCAAAGTCTATTCGATTTTACTTTTGCATCAAACTCACATCAATACTTGCACAGAAGAAAGAGCCCATTTGAAAGCCGCGAACAATCATAGCCATCAACGTGTTCTTGTCGGTTTTTCGCAAATCGAAATGCTCAGTTAGACCAGAAGTATTTTCGGATACTAATCTAACCATGAAACCAAAATTGATTTTGAATCCAAATTCCAAACGTGTACTTTCAAAAGTAGAGTGTGCTTCTCTCAAATCATGTTTTTTAAAAATTGCTAAACTACCGTAATCCAACGTAATCCAATCGTAAAGTAGAAAGTTATTTTCATTTTCAAAAGTCAAAACGAAGTGTAACTATCGCTTTTTTATCTCTATTTTTTTGCGAACAGGATTTGATATTAATCTTTAGATAATCTCGAAAAGCATAGCATATATAGAAAATGAGTAACGGCTCAATGAATACGGGGAAAATTTTATTGAAAGTAGACTTTTACTCGTCACTTTTTTTAGGACCCAGGAACTCCAAGTAGAACTCCCAGAACTCCGAGTAGAACTCCCTGTAGAACTCCCACCAAGTTTTCCATCTCTGCGATGGTAAACTCATAATCAAACACAGAAAGAATGAAAAATTTATTGCCAAATGTGATCTATGTGCAAAAGAATGCACACCTCTTTACTCTAACGGCAACGACTTCAACGAGAAACCATTCGAGAGTAGTTTTCTTTTTTCTTTATTATTGCAAATACTCAAATCAAGATAAGGATTCTAAGGCATGGAAAGAGGCTGAAAGTAATGTAAAGTAATCGTAAAATCTAATCGTAAAAGCGTTGAAGCGAGCATGTATGAACGAAGAAACGCCGCAGACGCAAATGTCTAAAAATTTTTAGTTCGAAAAGTATTCTGTCGATTTCTTTTATTTAAAAAGAACGACAGCATTTGCATTAGCCGAAACGAATATTTCCATTGATCAACTAAAGCGTAGTAAGCGATGCGGAGCTTGGCTCGAATCACAGAATGTGCCTTTGTAGCGCTTAGAAATGCTGCCTAATGATTAGAAAAAGCCAATCATACCGATGAATCATGGACGATCTTTGCAAAGTACCAGGTACTAGACGCCTATAGATTAGGTGATAAAACGTTTTTGTTGCAAACGGTGCTAAAGCAAATATACTCATGCAGCCATTAATTTGAATCTACCAAGGTACAAGCGATCATAACTTAGATCTCTCATTTACCATTAGAATATTTTGTTTTGCTCATTTGTTTCACAATATGGTGAAAGGCTTTAAAGATGAGGCTGAAGTTTCGATAATTGTAGAAAAAGCTGTCCATTGAAGAAATATTTCATTTCAAACAACGTACCAAGTCATGCCCACCAATCCAATATCAATTCCCATTTGCTTTTTAATAAAATTTTGAAGTGAATAGAGATAATTTTTGGCACTAGTGCCTAAGCTCCAACTTTTATTAAAAATTCCAATGAAACACTTGAAACGTTTCAAACGTTTGAAACATTTCAAAATTACAAAGATACAAATTCTATAACCGAGTAAAACAGAAAAACAGAGTAAAAACCGAATCGTCATTGAATGCTAAAATATGCAGCGAAAAACCAAAAATCTAGAACGGAAACAAATTTTAGACGTATTGCTGTCGATTATAGAGCGCATTTGGGTCGGTTGAGTCGATGGAGACGGAAACGGAAGCGAGCGAGGCGAAGAAGACTATGACGATCACCAAGAAGCCCACCAGAAGAGGCTTGAAGCATCCGCAAGTCCTAAAGGAATTGCTTTAACAATTGTACTCGTTTTTAACTGTGATGAATTAACCAACTCTGGCTCTTGCTTCTTCAGAACATTGACGATCCTTTGGTCGAAATCGTTTTGTTTCGCAATAGCTTCTTCGAGCTAAAAGATAGGTGATATCAAAAACAACAACAATTGCCAATTGTACCTATAACTATGTAACAAACCTCGACATTTAGCTCAAAGATATTAAAAATTACCGAATCCACCAACAGTCGACCCGTTGGACCCAAAACTCCATCGCTCCCAAACGCGTCGAGCATTTGATTTTCCTTTTCTCGATCGATAGTTTTACATACCGTGTGTCCATCCTCGAGATGTCCGAAGTCTTCAGTTTGAGCGTCAGACAATTCCTAACAGAAATACGTTAGATCCTGTTTTTAAAAAGATTAACAATGCTTTAATGACTTATAAAATCTAAATGTTCTCATAGCAACTTGGTGCCAGGGAACTGGGCCCTGTCTAACTATTACATCTTACATGTTTTGCCATTACATTTGAGTTATTCAAGGTTAGTGAGTGAACGGTCAGGTTTAAAAATCCAGCTTTAATTTGTATCAATCGATACCCAACTCCCTTTACATCAACAATTATTCTCAACACTCCCACTTTTTTCCCTGTTGGCTCATCCTTCCCAAATGGCTCCGACGAGTCGATCAAGGGGTTCTTCATATCCGTGTGAAGTTGATGAGTTCCCTTCAGAATCTAAATGAAACAAACTTGCAGTCCTTTCTTTAAAATATGCTGCAATCAACTATAATTGTTAAAGATTACTTCAGCTAATCGTAACTTCTTTTTATCAGCATCCCGGTGATCGTTCTTTTGACCCAGAGCTTCGTTTTGTTCCATCAAAGACATGTGATCACCCTAAAAAGATTTTTAGAGGTTTTACTATATGCAAAGTTTACCCCATTCTCATCCTTGGCAACGAAATCTGTGAGACATTGGGGCTGTTCTTGTTGTGAGTCGTTTTTCTAGAAAGTTTTATATTAAATAAGGTTCAAGAATTTAGTACTAATAAAGTTGGGGGGCAAATAATGTGCTTATTCTGAGATGAAGTGGCCAAAACGTACCCGGTACTGGCCTAGTTGGGAGGGGAGGGGGCACTTTGTTTTCTTCAAAACCCCTTTCTCTGGGGTAGTTTTATGCGTTTATTCCGGAAAACACAACGCGAGCTTAGGAAAATGCTTGGGAAAAAAGTGTCGGGGTTTCAAAGTGCGCGCTTATACAGCGTGATGAGCTGGATACACAGAAGGAAGAGGTCTAAAAAATGGTCTCTCAAAACATTTTTTGGAACCAAAAACACTTCTTCTGGCATAATTTAACCTAATGATTTGTTTTCTGATGAAATTAAAGCAAAATTAAAAAAATTTTTTCCAAATTTCGACCATGTACCTACGTAACACTTGTAACAGATTACTAGCCAAACTTCGTAAACTAATAATGAAACCTTTTAAACTGCCAAGCATCTCAGTAACTCTGATCACAAATTAACTTTGCAACAACTCGTCATAATTTCATCTGCTTTTCAATCAAGCACCATTGAAGATATTAGTTAAGCTTTTGAACCAAGATGTATTAGAAAAACTTCTATAGTACTTCGGGTATCTAATTTGCCAAAAACGACCAAAAGCCATAAACTCACATGCCGCAACTGCACGCTCTCCTCGCAACCACAGGGCCCAACTTCTATTCGCGACTCGATTGCTTCACTCATTGCCTCGTTGCCTGTAAAAAAAGTCAATATAAAAGCGTTAATGTGCAAAATGATAAAACAGAAAGCACTACAACAACAAAATCTACACGAGAATGAAAGGTTCGCAATTCTTTCCATTTAAATAAGGCGTGTTGATGCGTTTTAGAATCAGGCAGCGTTAGGGTACGGTAGCCTTTCCATTTCCACTGTAACGTTGAGCAATTTCATTGTTTTACCCTGAAATTCTTGAATTTTCTGCATTCTTGTCGATTCTTTTTATTTTATTTTGCACTCAATATCTACAGATGTGAGTTTTTGTCCGAGGAGTGGGGCTGTTGAATTGTATTGATAAAGGGGTCGAATCCGAACAATCCAAAAATTTATTGTCAAACCCAGCCGAAAACCCCGCCTATCGATGTAAAAGAATAAGCGTGCAAAAGCCAAAATTGGTTTAAAATCGCAAATGAAGGCAAGCTTGCCGGAAAATCGACATGGCTTTGAGTCAGTGGCAAGAGATAAAGGATAAAATAACAAAACAAAGCTGACGAACTAAAAAAAGTCAAGTCCATTGTGCTGTTGATCTACTTGAGTTCCCTGAATTTTCTTGTTGTTAGACAATCATTGCGTAAACTGACCGCATTTTGAGATCTCCATTCGAGTAATGAGAAATGAGAAAAAGAAAATCTGATTCTTTATAGGGCTCAAATGTCTCTATTGTTATCCAATCTATCCACTTTTTCTCTGATCCAAAAGAACAGCAGTGATGCTGTACGCGTGTCCCATGATTAACCCGTTTCTCAGCTGGTTCTCAAAGCTGTTTGGATCGGCCTGAAAAGAGAATCTTACAGTAATTCACTAGTTGCTAGGTCAAAGTCTATTCGATTTTACTTTTGCATCAAACTCACATCAATACTTGCACAGAAGAAAGAGCCCATTTGAAAGCCGCGAGCAATCATAGCCATCAACGTGTTCTTGTCGGTTTTTCGCAAATCGAAATGCTCAGTTAGACCAGCTGAAATATTTTCGAATACTGACAATGAAACTAAAATTTGATTTGAATGCAAATTCAACTTGAACTTTTAAAAGTTACCCGTGAAATCCTCGAGCGCGTCCGTCGGAACCCGGCCATCGAGCCACTCGTAACAAGTGATCATCCTTACCCCTTAACGATCTTCGATCACCTCATCTATTTGTGATTGTCAAGTTATCCACTTGTCAAAGAAGTAAATGATTTAACTCTGATACCAAACATTAAACTTACATGTGGCCGAAGTCATTTCAGCGGCTCAGATAGCGATTGTCTAAAATTATTAGTTGTTACTTGAATGCAATTTTCAAAATTTCACAAACTTTGTGGAAAATCTTGTTTCCATCAAAGGCTCCATCGACTCGACTCGTGTCATTTTCGATCTTGTTGAAGATGAAAGGGAAAAGCTAGACTTAACTTTTGTGGTGCACTTTGTAAGTAAAAATCTGTAAACAGCGTGTTTCTGGCGCACTGAATAGGGTTTGCCGCTGTAGACTTTAAAACTTCATATCTGTACATTGAGTGAAAATTTAAAATCAACAAAAATTAGAAATTAAAGAATTTCAAAAGCAAAGCAACGAAATTCCAGTAGAAATGAAGCTACCGTACCCAACGCTGTCTGATTCTAAAACGCATCAACGAACATTTAACTGAGAAGAATTGTGAACTTTTCATTCTCGTGTAGATTTTGTTGCTTTAGCGCTTTCTGTTTTGTCATTTTGCACATTCACGCTTTTATATTGACTTTTTTACAGGCAACGAAGCAATGAGAGGAGCAATCGAGTCACATTTTGTGGTTATTTCCTGTGGTTGCGAGGAGAGCGAACAGATGCGAAAAGTTGCGAACTTATCCATGCAAGTAAGTTAGTGGTTTTGGTCGTTTTGTGAAGATTAGATACCTGAGGTACTATAGAAGCTTTCTAATATGTCTTGGTTGAGAAGCTTAGCTAATATCTTCAATGGTGCTTGATTGAAAAGCTGAACAAATTATGACGAGTTGTTGTAAAGTTAGTTTGTGAGCAAAGTTGGTGAAATGCTTGGCGGCTTCAAAGGTTACATTTTTGGTTTACGGACTTTGGCTATCTATTCATCAAAAGTTTAATCTTTTTGGTCCGTGGAATTTTAAAAGATTCGAATTGATGATATAATCTGTTTATAGTAAAATTCTTAACCTTGTTAATATAAAACTTTTCTAGGAAAAAACTCACTACGAGAACAGCTCCAGTGGCTCGCAGATTTCGTTGGCAAGGACGAGTAGTGGGGTGCAGGGTACATATCCTGACGTCGATCTGATGTTCAAACTGAGACTTCAGACATCTCCAGGAGGGATGCACTGTATGTGCAGCTATCGGGGTAGAGGTAATGTCCTTTTCTCTATCTGCTGATTGTCAGCAGCGTTCTGAATCACTAAACTGTAGGGTAGTAAAACCAACTGTTAGGTGATTGAGCACATTGTCAACAGCTCAAGGATGAGCTGGCCGCAAAGGAAGAAGAGCTGGGGGTAAACGCTTTAAGTATTGCTTTTAAAAGTTTTTTTTAGTCAGCTGCACAAAAGGTTTCGATGGTTTCTGAACGTTTAGAAATGGAATTGGCGGCTAAGCAGGTAATGCATTTGATTAAGTGAACCTGAATGGAATACTTTAGGCTCTTCAAGCTAAATACAACTGTGTCAAGGCTGATCACCAAAAAGTTTGCGCCGGTTTGTTATTCATTAAATTTTTTCTTTAGTTTCTTCTCCGGCAAAAAGTCGAAGAACTTGAGGATCTTGCGGTATTATCATTTTCTATATATATGATTAGTCAACTGCGATTATGAACCATTAAATTGTAAAATTTAAAAAACTAACTTTAGTTGATTAGAGCACTTTGTCGAGAGCTCAAAGATAAGCAGGACGCAATGGAAACTCTTCAAGCTAAATACGACCGTGTCAAGGCTGATCAACAAAGGTTTGCGCCTTTTTCTTGTTGATTGAATTTCTGGCCTCCGATTGCTTGGGGATTCGGGAAGCTTGTTTACCTTGTTTAAATGTTTTTAGCTAAATGGCTAGATTATATAGCTATAGATACAATTGGAATGCTTACATACTAGGTACAATTGGCAATTGTTAGTGCTTTCGATACCACCTATCTTTTAGCTCAAAGAAACAATTGCGAAACAGAAGGGGGTCGGCCAAATGATCGTCGATGTTCTGAAGAAGCAAGGGCCAAGGTTTGTTAGTTCGTTGCAATTAAAAACTAATACACTGTTAATTCAATTCCTTTAGGACTCGCGGACGCTTCAAACTTCTTCTGGTGAGCTTCTTGAGCCCATCGTCTTCTTCCCCTTGCTCGTCCGTCATCTTCGCCTCGCTCGTCCATCGTCTTCTTCTTGGTGGTCGTCACAAATGCGCTCTATAATCGACATAAATACAAATACAACTACATCTAAAATTTGCTCTCTTGTTCGTGCATCTATCTATTCTTTGTTTTCCGTTGTCCAAAAATTATTTTAGCATTCAATGCCAATTAATAATGATCTGTTTTTATCCCGTTTTACTCGGTCTTAGACTGTTTACTTCTAAATTTCAAATGTTTTGTTTTCCCATTTTGTTGGAATGCGGAATAAAGGCTGGAGCTTAGACACAGTGCCAAAAATCATGTATATTCACTTCTTTTTGAAACTATAAAATTGGTAGTCAACTTTTTGTCCTCATTTTTTTGATCCCGAAACATCAATTATCTTGGCCCCCTTTTTCCTGTCCAAAACCTATAAAGGTAGCAACAAACCCCCCATTTTACCGGAAATTAATTTTCCATGAAAATAAAACGATTTCAATTTCTGAATTGCTCCCGAAAAATAATTTAAGTTATTAATAAATTTCCTTATGCAAAAAGTTTATAAACTTAACAGATCGGATATGGAAAGGTCATAGGAAAATGTTGAGAGCCTGAGCGCTTTTGGGAAAGTTTTGAGTTTTGTGTACTCATTTTGGAAACAGCGATCAGAAATTTGAGTAGAAAATTGGTGAATTCGGATTTTGGAATGAAATTTTAAGATCTTTGACCATTTTGATAGCAAACTGCTGAAGCCAAGGTGATTCGTACCAGCGATGTTCCAAAGATATCTAGTTTTTTTTCCAGTTAAACCATAACGACCAGGTTCGGATCTTGGTCTGGCTTCTAACCTGGATTACATTCTTGTCTGGTCTGGGTTCCTGTAAATTTGTGTTAGATAAGGTCCCTGAACCAACTGTTCCAATCAGACTCTACGTTTTACCTGTTCAGACAGAAAACAGGAATCGGATTTTAAAATGATACATTACCCTTGTGTATCTTAAATCCGAGTGAATAACAGCAATTCTTTATTGGCACGTATGTGTTGATGTTACATGAGTCCGGACTGAGATTTCGTGATCGAGCACTCTCTTTTAGCCTACCCTTGATGGGCAGGACTAGACATGGGAAAATTCCAAGCCGGACCTAATTCCATCCTCGTCTTCTTGGCCGTTTCTTGGCCGATTGCTCTGAAGTTTTGTCTACAAGCTGAAAATGTCGATTTCTATCTATAGACAAAATTTCAGAGCAATCAGCCAAGAAAACGAAGGTGGAATTAGGTTCGGTTAGGCCCCCTATCAACCCACTAGATGAGTTAAAGACCTTTCACTGGATCTCAACCAAAGGAAAAGAATTTCAGATGCTAAGAGTGAGAAATCGGCTCAAGGACACGAGAACGAAAAGTTGTTGAAATTTCGAGTGTCTGATAGCTGACACAGGTCTAGATTACAAATCCTTACAAGTCGTGCTATAGATCTTTTGTAAATCCTTCTTACTTTCTTGATTTTAAGGGCCACACCCAACTCCACTCGAATCCGATTTGGCGCTTCTGTGTCCTCATCACGGCTGCAAATGATCGACCGTAACCTTTTTTATAGTTTAAATTCAACTTCACTAACGATTATAGTTTGAAACGTACAGTAATCTAAAGCTTAGTCAGATTTCTTTGTTTAAAAAGTATCCATTCAAGTTTACTACATTTTCCTGAATATTTGCGTTCCCAAAAAAACATTGCCCACAGATGTTGGGACCCACAAATGTTGAGAGCCTGAGCGCTTTTGGGAGAGTTTTGAGTTTCGAGTACAAATTTTGGAAACAACGATCAGAAATTCGAGTACAAAACGTGAATTGGGATTTTCGATCTGAATCAAATTTTAAAGGTCTTTGACCATTTTGATAGTAAATTGCTGAAAACAAAGGGATTTGTACCAGCAATGTTTCAAAGATACCTAGTTTTTTGGATCATGCCATACTTGGCCAGGGCCAGATCTTGGCTGACTCTGGCTTCTAGTCTGGACCTTTTCTGGTCTGACTTTACTGCAAATTTGGCCAAGATAAGGCCCCAGAACTCGATCAGTTAGAGACCTTTCACTGGACCTCAGCCAAGGAAGAGCTCAGTCTGATCAAGAGTGAGGAATCGGCTCAAGGACATGAGAACGAAAAGTTGTTGAAATTTCGAGTGTCTGATAGCTGATACAAGTCTGGTCTAGTCTGGCTTACAAATCCTTACAGATCATGCTAAAGATCTCTTCTTACTTTCTTGATTTTAAGGGCCACACCCAACTCCTCTCGAATCCGATGTGGCGCTTCTGTGTCCTCATCACGGCTGCAAATGATCGACCGTAAGCTTTTTTATAGTTTAAATTCAACTTTGCTAACAATCATAGTTTGAAAAGTACAGTAATCTAAAGCTTAGTCAGATTTGTTTGTTTAAAAAGTATCTATTCAAGTTTACTACATTCGCCTGAATATTCGGAGTTTTTGCGTTCCCGTTCGTTGCGTTTGCAATTCGGATCGTTGCAATCGACACTCGAGTCTGCACACGTTCATCAAAGGACTCAAACATGATAATCTATCAAAAAATACCCAACAATTTGTGTATAGGAACATTTCGTTGTTGAAAATTTGATTTTACTTATGCATTTCCACTTTCACACCTGTTTTAGGCAATTTCTTTACAGACTTTGTCGCTGTAGACTTTCAAAATTCATCTGTACAGATTGAAAAATAAACTTTACAATCGACCAAATTGCAGAAAATTCAAGAATTTCGAAGTAAAACAATGAAATTAAAGTGAAAATGGAAAGACTACCGTACCCTAACGCTTCCTGTTTCTAAAACGCATCAGCGCGCTTTATTTAAGTGAAAAGAATAGCGAACTTTCTCATTCTCGCGTAGGTTTTGTTGTTTTAGTTTTCTCATTTTACACTTTCACGCTTTTATATTGACTTTTTACAGGCAACGAAGCAATGAGTGGAACAGTCTCGCCGCGAGTCGAAGTTACGCCCTGTGATTGCGAGGAGAGCGTGCAGTTGCGGCATGTGAGTTTGTGATTTTTGGTTGTTTGCGAGAAATTAGAGGGGCTATAGTAGTGGGAGGGCGGCAAAAATTTTTTACGCCAAATGAGCGGTTGCACCCAGCGGTTTTTGACTATGCTGAATCGATCGATGAAACTTTTGACAACGTTTATAACAAACGTATTGAAAACCTAATATACTTATTCTGTGATGAAGTGGCCAAAACGTACCCGGTACTGGCCTAGTTAGGGGAGACACTTTTTTTCTTCGAAATCACTTTTTCAGGGGTAGTTTTATGCATAGATTCCGAAAAACACAATGAGAGTTTGCGAAAATTCGTTTTAAGCCAAGTGTCGGGGCTTCAAAGTGCACGCTTCTATAGTGTAATCCACTGTATGGAACCCAAGCTATCGATTATTGGGGCACTTTTCAAGGGCAAAACTCGAGCCAAAACTATTTTTAGCCACTAAATATTCATTTTCTAACCTAAATTGATGCAAAACAAATTGGAAAAAATATTTTTTGGAGATTTTGACATTTTGACAATATTTTTGACAATATTGGGCGAAACCACCAGCAATTGATTCAGTATAGTTAAAAACCTATGGGTGCAAAAAATCAGCTACTCAGTCTCTAATCAGTTTGACAGAAAAAAAAATTGCCCCCCCCCCCAACTACCATAGCACCGAATTTAGATACTATAGAAGCTTTTCAAATATCTCTTGGTTAAAAACCTTAGCTAGTATCTTGCAATGGTGCTTGATTCAAAAGCAGAACAAATTATGATGAGTTGTTGCAAAGTTAGTTTGTGATCAAAGTTAATGAAATGCTTGGCAGCTTCAAAGGTTTCATTATTAATTCGCGAAGTTTGGCTATCTATTCATCAAAAGTTTAATCTTTTCGGTCCGTGGAATTTTAAAAGATTCGAATTGATGATGTAATCTGTTAGCTAGATAGTAAAATTCTTAAACCTTACTAATATAAATTTTTTAGAGAAACAACTCACTACAAGAACGGTTCCAATATCTCACAGTCATGATGGACGAGACTGAGGTAAACTTTGCATATAGTAAAACCTTTAAAAAATCTTTTTAGAATGAGCTCATGTCTTTGATGGAACAAAACGAAGATCTTCGTCAAAAGAACGATTACCTGGAGGCTGATAAAAAGAAGTTACGACAGGATGTTGAAGTGACATTTAACAATTATAGTTGGATGAAGAATATTTTAAAGAAATGACTTCAAGCTACTTTCGTTTCATTTAGATTCTGGAGGGAAGTCATCAACTTCTCGCGGATATCGTGAACAACGCCTTTATCGATTCGTCGGAGCCATTTAGGAAGGATGAGCCAGTGGAGAAGAAAGTGGGAGTGTTAAGAATAATTGTTGGTGTAAAGGCAGTTGGGTATGATCCATAGAAATCAAAGCTGGATTGTTCGGCGTGACCGTTCACTCACTAATCTTGAATAACTCAAATGTAATGGCAAAACATGTAAGATGTAATAGTTAGACAGGGCCCAGTTCCCTGGCACCAAGTTGCTATGAGAACATTTAGATTTTATAAGTCATTAAAGCATTGTTAATCTTTTTAAAACAGGATCTAACTTATTTCTTTTAGGAAATGTCTGATGCTAATGTTCAAACTGAAGACTTCGGACATCTCGAGGATGGATGGACCTTGTGTACAACTATCGAGGTAAAGGTATTGTCATTTTCTTTATATATATGATTAATCAACTACGATTATGAACCACTAAATTGTAAAATTAAAAAACTAACTTTAGTTGATTGGAGCACTTTGTCGACAACTCAAGGATAAACAGGCCGCAATGGAAGCTCTTCAAGCTGATTACGACCGTGTCAAGGCTGATCAACAAAAGGTTTCCGCCGTTTTCTTATTGATTGAATTTTTTGTTTAGTCCCTTCTCCGGGAATTACGCGACCAGCAGGAATTCGAAGAACTTGTGGATCTTTATCGGAAGGCTGCTGAGGTTGTTGGGACTTATGAATATCGAATATATCTTTGATTTAGCAAAATGAGAAGCTCCGCGGTCGAATGGAAAATCAAGGTCTGTTCGCGTTTTGGAGCAATGGAGTTTTGGATCAAACGTTTCGATCGCTTGAGGATTCGGTAACTTTTAATGTCTTTGATCTAAATGTCTGGGCGTGTTACATAGTTATAGGTACATACCAGGTTCAATTGAGAATTGTTATTGCTTTTAATATCACCTAATAGGTTGGTGCATTGTCTTAAGTAAATGTTTGAGCTGTAATTTCTCGAGAAAAGAAATATGTATTTATTCAAAATAACCACCATTATTAAGGATAAGTTGTTGCCATTTATTGCGCAAAGCGTTGATTTCCTTCTCTTGCTACAGGGTTGCCGCTTGGAGAAGAGTCGATTCATTTTTCTACTTCCTCCACATCTCCAAAGTACTCATCGGCCAAATCAATGGCCATCTCCTTGAAAAGATGAAAATCACTAGGGGCCAAGTCAGGCGAGTACGGCGCATGCGGGAGAATTTCCCGGCCTAAAGTCTTCAGTTTTTCCTTGGTCAAGTTTGCAACGTGGAGCCGTGCGTTATCATGTTGCAAAATGACCTTGCCCATGTTGGACCTCTTTTTTCACTTCAGAAGCGACTCGATCCAATTGATCAACGTATAGGGAGACCTTGATAGTCGTCCCTTCTTCTAGCAACTTTCAGTAAATAACTCCTTCTCTGTCTCACGAAACACATAACATAATCTGGTGAATTTCGGGCTGGGGGTCGGGCTTTGATTTTTCGCCTGGAGCAACCCATTGTTTATGTCTCCAAAAGTTGACATAGGTTACCCATTTTTCCGCCTGTTAGCCTGTTATCAGGTGGGGGAAAAAGGTCGACGTTGATAACACGAGATTGAAGTGGCTGATACAGATAGCCTCTGCGCAGCTAACTCACGGGTTGATTGTTTGTTGTCATCGGGTATAAGTGTCAAAAGAGTGGATTTATGAAGACCCGTCGGTCGCCCTGACCTCGACTGATCTGCAAGAGAGAAGTCGTTCTTTTAAAAGCGATGATACCAATTGTAGATAGTTCCCATAGTCACCGATCTTGCCCCGAAAGATCGTTGATTTCCTTTTCAGCAAAGGCGGCACTTGCGTTTTTTAAAAATAAAATAGAATGGCATTTCGGAAATGACTTGTGGGTAGATTTTCGGTAGTTTCACGATTCAAGTCCGAAAATAAAAAAGGATTAAGCAGTATTTCATTTCGTGTTTTCAGGGATCAATAATCAAGAGTTCAAGTAGACAAAAGCCCTTACCAGCTGATCGTAGGAGAGCCTAGAGAAGTAGAGAAAGAAAGACAAAAAAATTCTAAAGACTTTTGCACCAGTCTTATCTTTTAGTTCGAAGAAGCGATTGCGAAACAAAGCGAGATCGGCGCGCTTGGGAGCAATGGAGTTTTGGATCAAACGTTTCGATCGCTTGAGGATTCGGTAACTTTTAATGTGAGAGCTCTGAGCTTTTAACTTTAAGTCTAGGTTGGTTACATAGTTATGGGTATATATTAGGTACAATTGATTTGATATGTTGTTGCTTTTGATATCACCTATCTTTTAGCTGCAAGAAGCGACTGCGAAACAAAACGAAGTTGACCAAATGATCGTCGATGTTCGGAAGAAGCAAAAGCCAAGGTTTTTTAATTCATTACAATTAAAAATTAGTACATTATTAATTCCTTTAGGATCTGCGGATGCTACAGACCTCTTCTGTCCAATACATCTAAAATTTGCTTCCGTTGTAGAGTTTTGGTCTTTCGCTCCGCTGTTCGTGCATCTATCTATTCTTTGTTTTCCGTTTTTCAAAAATTATTTTAGCATTCAATGCCAATTAATAATGATCTGTTTTTACTCTATTTTAGACTGTAGTTTGCAAATTTCGAATGTTTCGTTTTATTATTTCGTTGCAAGCTTTAAGCTAAAAGTTTTAAGGCACAAAGTGTCAAAAGTCATGTTTATTAACTTCAAAATTTTATTCAAAAGCCAATGGGAATTGACAACTTTGCATAAAATTTGCTTCCGTTGTAGATTTTTGTTCTTTTGCTCCATTCTTCATGCATCTCTTTCTTGGTTTTCCAAATTTTGTTAGCATTCAATTGCAGTTAGTGATCTGTTTTTATTCGAACTATTATTGACTATTTTCTTGTAAATTTCAAATGTTTCATTTTTATTATTTCATTGGAATTATGAACGAAAGCTGTTGAATAAAAGATAAATAAAAGGCTTGAAGGCACAAAGTACCAAAATTATGTACATTCACTTCTAAATTTTATTAAAAAGCCAATGGGAATTAACAACCTTGCATAAAAGTTAAGGACTTGTGGATGTAAAGGAATCCGCATTTCAAAAGTCAAAATTCGTTTAAAATCGGAAAATCGATATCGTTTTGAGGCAGTAAGGAAGAGATAAAGGATAAAATAAAAAACAAAGCTGACAAACTAAAAAAGTCAAGTCCATTGTGCTGTTGATCTACTTGAGTTCCCTGAAATTTCTTGTTAGACAATCATTGCGTAAACTGACCGCATTTTGAGATCTCCATTCGAGTAAGCACGAATGAGAAAAATCCGCTTCTTGGTAGAGCCATCAACGATAAAACATGGATCTTAGACAATATCCTGAAATATTGTAGCTGATACAAAACCTCAAGGATTTTCAGTGTGCCAGAGACTGTGCGTCTGCAAGAACTCAAAACACGCGCCGGTTTCCTCACTACTGTACTGCAAAGTAAAGCAGTTTTATGGCTCAAGCTTTGATATTGTCAAGTTATCCACTTGTCAAGGAGGTAAATGACTTAAAACTGATATCAAACATTAAACTTACATGTGATCGAAGTCATTTCACCGGTTGTCTGGAATTATTGGTTGTTACTTGAATGCAATTTTCAAAATTTCATAAGCTTTGTCGAAATCTTGGTTTCCATCAACGGCTTCATCGACTCGACTCGTGTCATTTTCGATCTTGTTGAAGCTAAAAGGGAAAAGCTAGACTTGACTTTTGTCGTGCACTTTGTAAGTAAAAATCTGTAAACAGAGCGTTTCTGGCGCACTGAATACGAGGGTTTGCCGCTGCAGACTTTAAAACTTCATATCTGTACATATTGAGTGCAAAATAAACTAAACAATCGACAAGAATGCAGAAAATTCAAGAAGTTCAAAGTAAAACAATGAAATGGAAAGACTACCGTACCCTAACGCTGTCTGATTCTAAAACGCATCAACGAACTTTATTTAAGTGAGAAGAATTGCGAACTTTTCATTCTCGTGTAGATTTTATTGTTTTAGTGCTTTCTTTTTCTCATTTTCTACATTCACGCTTCTACAGGCAACGAGGCAATGAGTGGAGCAATCGGGTCGCGAATCGAAGTTGGGCCCTGTGGTTGCGAGGAGAGCATGCAGTTGCGGCATGTGAGTTTATGGTTTTTGGTCGTTTCTGGCAAATTAGACACCCTAAGTACTATAGAAGTTTTTATAATATGTCTTGGTTGAAAAGCTTAGCTAATATCTTGCAATGGTGCTTGGTTCAAAAGCAGAACAAATTATGACAAGTTGTTGCAAAGGTACTGAAATCCTTGGCGGCTTAAAAGGTTTCATTATTAATTCGCGAAGTTTGGCTATCTAATCATCAAATGTTTAACCTTTTCGATCCGTAGAATTTAAAAAGATTTGTATTGACGTTGTAATCTGCTACATAGATAATAAAATTCTGGTACTTTGGGTTGGGCCACCTATATTTTTGATTTTTTCGCCTTTCAAAGGATAATCGAGGGCGCTGAGCACGTATTTCACAGTTATATAATAGGTTTTCCACTGAAAAACCGACATTTCGACACGTTGGAAATTGCACTTTTGTTGCACTTTATTGCAACTAAAAAATTTGTGTGACTAAAAAAGTCACAGTAATTTGTGACTTTTTCTAGTCACTGCTATTTGCCTAGGCTATGGCTTCCCACACTGACTGGAGACAGCCTATAGCCCGATTCACCCGGCTCCGGCCTTCCTGACACCCGGTGGCTTAGGTGGGTCGTTACGTAGCTGGTGAATCACTGTCAAACTGTCAAGTTCGTGCACAGCGCCCTAGATTACTCTGAAATGTGAAAAAATCCAAAATATTGGTGCCCCGAACCCAAAAAGTATCAAAAGTATTATTTAAGCTAAAACTTTTTAGAGAAATAACTCACTACAAGAACAGCTCCAATATCTCACGGATGTCGTTGGCAAGGATGAGACTGAGGTAAACTTTGCACATAGTAAAACCTTTAAAAATTTTTTAGGGTGATCACGTGTCTTTGATGGAACAAAACGAAGATCTTCGTCAAAAGAATTATCATCTGGATGCTGATAACAAGAAGTTACGACAGGATGTTGAAGTAATCTTTAGCATTTATAGTTCAACTGAGAATATTTTAAAGAAATGACTTCAAGCTACTTTCGTTTCATTTAGATTCTGGAGGGAAGTCATCAACTTCTCGCGGATATCGTGAACAACGCCTTTATCGATTCGTCGGAGCCATTTAGGAAGGATGAGCCAGTGGAGAAGAAAGTGGGAGTGTTAAGAATAATTGTTGGTGTAAAGGGAGTTAGGTATGATCGATAGAAATTAAAGCTGGATTGTTCGGCGTGGCCGTTCACTCACTAACCTTGAATAACTCAAATGTAATGGCAAAACATGTAAGATGTAATAGTTAGACACGGTCCAGTCCCCTGGCACCAAGTTGATATGAGAACATTTAGATTTTATAAGTCATTAAAGCGTTGTTAAACTTTTTAAAACGGTATGTAACTTATTTCTGTTAGGAATTGTCTGACGCTCAAACTGAAGTCTTCGGACGTCTCGAGGATGGATTCCCTGTGTGTACAACTATCAAGGTGGAGATATTGCCATTTCCGCTATATACCATACGATTATGAATTACTAAACTGTAAAATTTAAAAAACCAACTTTAGATGATTGAAGCACTTTATCAAGAACTCAAGGATAAGCAGGCCGCAATGGAAAAAGAGCTGGGGGTAAACGCTTTAAGTATTGCTTTTAAAAGTTTTTCTTTTAGTCAGCTACACAAAAAATGGCGAGGGTTTTTGAACGCTTAGAAATGGAATTGAAGGCTAAACAGGTAATGGACTTGAATAAGTGAACCTGAATGGAATACTTTAGGCTCTTCAAGCTGATTACGACCGTGTCAAGGCTGATCAACAAAAGGTTTGGGCCGTTTTCTTATTGATTGAATTTTTTGTTTAGTTACTTCTCCGGGAAGAACGCTACAAGCAAGAATTCGAAGAACTTGAGGATCTTTATCGGAAAACTGCTGAGGTTGTTGGTACTTATGAATATCGAATAGATCTTTGATTTAGCAAAATGAGAAGCTCCGCGATGAAATGGAAAATCAAAGGCTGGACGCGTTTGGGAGCAATGGAGTTTTGGATCAAACGTTTCGATCGCTTGAGGATTCGGTAACTTTTAATGTGAGAGCTCTGAGCTTTTAACTTTAAGTCTAGGTTGGTTACATAGTTATGGGTATATATTAGGTACAATTGATTTGATATGTTGTTGCTTTTGATATCACCTATCTTTTAGCTGCAAGAAGCGACTGCGAAACAAAACGAAGTTGACCAAATGATCGTCGATGTTCGGGAGAAGCAAAGAGCCAAGGTTTGTTAATGCATTATAACTAATATAAAAGAGTACATTGTTGATACAATTCCTTAAGCAAATGCAATCGCGGATTCTTCGAACCTCTTCTGGTAAGCTTTTTGGTGACCGTCACCATCGTCTTCTTCGCCTCGCTCTTAATGATCGCATATGATCGACATCAATACATCTAAAATTTGCTTCCGTTGTAGATTTTTGGTCTTTCGCTCCACTGTTCGTGCATCTATCTATTCTTTGTTTTCCGTTGTCCAAAAATTATTTTAGCATTCAATGCCAATTAATAATGATCTGTTTTTACTCTATTTTAGACTGTAGTTTGCAAATTTGGAATGTTTCGTTTTACTATTTCGTCGGAATGTTTAATAAAAGCTGCAGCTTAGGCACAAATTGTCAAAAATCATGTATATTCACTTCAAAATTTGTTCTAGGAAGCCAATTGGAATTGATAACTTTGCTTAAAAGCACAGACTTATCGATGTAAAAGAATACGCGTTTCAAGAGCCAAAATTCATTTAAAACCGGAAATAGAGACTGGCTGAGTATCATTATCATTTGCGCTTATGAAATTCACTATAACAAATCCCTTCTCCCCAGCTTCTAACCAATTTTTTTTCAGTTTTCTGCTTCGCAATTTTGATGCACACACACATAGAAAACACGTTTGGCGTAAAACTTATAATATACGTACATGCTCCAAAAAAGGTACCCGCCTTTCTAAATCGCGCTCTTTGAGTGCACCTCTTCTCTAATGCATTTTTACAAATGTTATTCGGGAATGTTACGTAGTCATTTTTCAATAATGTTCTTTTTTTTAGGAATGGATTCTTCAAATGGAGAAGGGACGCTCTTTTTCGACCGCGTTCAAATTGGAAGCCATTGAGTCTGCCGAAAAAAGCATCGAATAAGAAAGCTGCCGAAAAGTTTCGAGTCGCGAGGCCAAGAATTATCGAGTGGCAGAAACAGCAAGAACGGCTGCTCACGGGAAATAACGATGCAAAGCGATTGAAAGGAGGCGAACGAAAGCTCAATTTTTTTCGGAAAACGATTACTCGAATTCTCTCGACGACCAGCAATTGCTCAACAAGTTCAACCTTATTCGATTGATTTCAAGCTGGACGCCATCGAATATGCAAAGAGGAACTCCAAAAATGATGCGAGCAAACTCCGTGCCGATCGAGCAATGATCCATAAATGGGTTTTACAGGAAGGACAATTGCGAAAAATTGAGGAAATCGTTGATGCAATTGAAAAGAGCCGAGAGGGAACTTACAAACAAACAACTCGATCAAGGACGGGTCGACTGGATCCGAAGCAAGCGGCGGAAGAGGAACAAAGTTTCGAGAAGATGGATTCACGAAAAGGCAAAAAACGTGCGCGAGCAGGATGGCACTAGGCTTGGAACGAGGAGATGATCGCCCACTTGTTGGAGGAAATTGATCTTGACGAAGGTGAAGAGAACAAGTGCTACGACAGAGTTTCGAGAAGATTGATTCACGAAAAGGCAAAAGACAAAAGAGCAGATTGAAGTCAGCGATGTTAACGAAAATGATATCGAGGATAATTCATTTAAGTGATATGTTTGTTTAAAAATGCTTTTCATTTCGTTAATTGATTGTTGCCTACGTTAAAATTTTGTTTTACTAATGAATAAATTAATCATAAATAGCTCTGATTTGAATGAAAACTTCTTGTAAGCTATTTGCTTAATTTTGCGGCGCGGTTGAAAAAGCGGTTGTCTAAAATTATTAGTTGTTACTTGAATGCAATTTTCAAAAATTTCACAAACTCTATGGAAAATCTTGTTTCCATCAACGGCTCCATCGATTCGACCCGTGTCATTTTCGATCTTGTTGAAGATGAAAGGGAAAAGCTAGACTTAACTTTTGTGGTGCACTTTGTAAGTAAAAATCTGTAAACAGCGTGTTTCTGGCGCACTGAATAGGGTTTGCCGCTGTAGACTTTAAAAATTCATATCTGTACATATTGAGTGCAAATTAAACTTAAAAATCGATAAAAATGTAGAAAATTCAAGAATTTTAAAGCAAAACAACGAAATTGCTCAACGTTACAGTAGAAATGGAAAGACTACCATACCCCAACGCTTTCTTTTTCTAAAACGCATCAACACGCCTTATTTAACTGAGAAGAATAGCGAACTTTCTCATTCTCGTGTAGATTTTGTTGTTTTAGCGCTTTCTGTTTTATCATTTTGCACATTAACGCTTTTGGTTCTTTTCCAATATCGGGGGAGCGGTCCGATTATCGGGGGAGCGGAAGGATTATCGGGGGAGCAAATTTTGGCAGCGCTACATATGTCCTATTTAAAATTGTGACGAACGGGAGCTTGCTTTGTTGCAAAAAGTTATCGACTCGAATTCCTCTTGAATGCTTGGGGACCTTTCGCCGTGCGCAAGTGTCACATGCCCAGCGAAATAGATATTTCCCCTTTGAGCGGACTTTCATCGATTCGCCAGTTTCAAATCCACGACTGGATGACTCCTTTGGTGACAAAATAATCGATTGCCGTCGATTTCTTGAACGCACAAATATCGGAGAAGCGCATCATCGTTAAAGTTTTAAAAAAAAATGTTGCAGTTAAAATACAGTCCCGGAAATGCATTTTTCGAGGGGGCAAAATTTGCTCCCCCGATTTTCCTTTCGCTCCCCCGATAATCTTTCCGCTCCCCCGATATTGGAAAAGTACCACGCTTTTATATTGACTTTTTTTACAGGCAACGAGGCAATGAGTGAAGCAATCGAGTCGCGAATAGCAGTTGGGCCCTGTGGTTGCATGCAATGGCATGTAAGTTTGTGTTTTTTGGTCGTTTTTGGCAAATTAGATACCCGAAGTACTATAGAAGCTTGTCTAATATGATATTCTAATATGTCTTGGTTGAAAAGCTTAGCTAATATCTTGTAATAGTGCTAAGCAGAACAAATTATGAGGAGTTGTCAGTGAAAGAGTGAAATGCTTGGCGGCTTAAAAGGTTTCATTGTTGTTTTACGAAGTTTGGCTATCTAATCATCAGAAGTTTAATCTTTTCGGTTCGTTGAATTTAGGAAGATTCGTATTGATGATGTCATCTGTTAGATAGATAGTAACAATCTTAAACCTTTTTAGAAAAACAACTCACAACAAGAACAGCTCCAGTGGCTCGCAGATGTCGTAGGGGATGATAACAAGAAGTTACGACTAGCTGATGAAGTAATCTTTAACAATTATAGTTGAGCGAAGTATATTTCAAAGAAAGGACTGCAAGCTAAGTTTGTTTCATTTAGATTCTGAAGGGAAGTCATCAACTTCTCGCGGATATCATGAACAACGTCTTTATTCTTTCGTCGAAGCCATTTAGAAAGGATGAGCCAACGGAGAAGAAAGTAGGAGCGTTTTCGGTAACTTTTAACGTCTTTGGGCTAAATGCCTAGGTTTATTGCATAGTTATTAGTATAGATACTAGGTACAATTGACAATTGTTATTGCTTTTGATATCACCTATCTTTTAGCTCGAAGAAGCTATTGCGAAACAAAACGAGTTCGACCAAAGGATCGTCAATGTTCTGAAGAAGCAAGAGCCAGGGTTGGTTAATTCATCACAGTCAAAAACGAGTACAATTGTTAATACAATTCCTTTAGGATTTCAAACGAAACAAGGGTTAGGACTAAATGAAACAAACTTCAACTTCAGATGCTTCAAATCTCTTCTGGTGGGCTTCTTGGTGATCGTCATAGTCTTCTTCGCCTCGCTCGCTTCCGTTCCCGTCGACTCAACCGACCCAAATGCGCTTTATGATCGACATCACTACATCTAAAATTTGCTTCCGTTCTAGATTTTTGGTCTTTCGCTCCATCGTTCGTGCATATATCTCTATCCATCTATCTATCTATTCTTTGTTTTCCATTTTCCAAGAATTTTTTGAGCATACAATGCCAATTAGTGATCTGCTTTTACTAGCTTTTCGACTGTCATCTTGCAAATTTCAGATATATCGTTGTCATGTTGAATAAAAGCTTTAAGGCACAGGGTGCCATGTATATTCACTTCAAAATTTTATTAAAAAGCAAATGGAAATTGATAACTTTGATGCATCAAAGCAATAGGCTTATCGATGTAAAAGAAAACGCGTTTCAGAGGTCAAAATTCGTTAAAAACCGCAAATAGAGGCAAGCTTGTCGGAAAATCGATATCTTTTTGGGGCAGTGGGGGAGAGATAAAGAATAAAATTACAAAACAAAGCTGATAAACTCAAAAATAAGTCAATTCCATTGTGCTGTTGATCTACTTGAGTTCCCTGAAATTTCTTGTTCGACGATCATTGCGTAAACTGACCGCATTTTGAGATCTCCATTCGAGTAAGCACGAATGAGAAAATCCGCTTCTTGGTAGGGCTCAAATGTTGAGGGAACGACAACGTATTCACCGGGTGGAACACGGAAACGAACGGTCACCTAGAAAATGGTGAACAATTCTAATCCATTTTAAACGTGTCAACTTTTTCTACGACTTTCTGCTTATCTCTATTGTTATCCAATCTATCCAATCTATCAAACGTTTTTTCTGATTCTTTGAGTATTCCATAAAGGGTATCAAAAGATGCAAAAAGTAGATGGATTCGGTAAAAATATAAACTAGATTACTGTAGAAGGAGACATGCTTTAGTGAATGAATTATTTGATATTACGGTAACGATTAGAGCTGTTCATTGATAAAGCTACAATTTTGTTCACCCACCTCTCGCATATTCGTGAACACGGGCACTTTGGCGAGCGATTGATTTGAGCGGAAGAATTGCTCGTTCAGCTTCACCCCGTTTCCTTGTGGAGCCTAGATTTTGGGCTAATGACTTATGGCTAATGGCTAATGACTTTGATATCTAATTTTACAAATCTTCTAGAAACCACCTTGTAAACGGAGAATCCGATCGGAAGATCGTCTTTCCCCTTTGGTCGGAGTTCGCGACGGAATTTTTGCAAAACCGCCACCACAACCTGAAATTTGATTGATGAATTGATTAAAAATAAAACCGGACTTTGTTGATTCTTTTGAAATTTGCATTGTAATTGCATTGCCAGCTTACCGTGCAATTTCCATCGCCTTCAACCCCGTTCTTTGCGTTCGTGAGCGACAATTGGAATTGTGGATTCTTCGGGAAGGTGGCTAAAAGAAAGAAGAGGTCACTGTAGAGCCTTTAGCCAATAAAATTAGATCTTTCTTTTTCAACTCACAAATATAATTGATACATCCCCCAGCGGAGTTCGCTTGACTGCTCCACGAGCCATCACATTGATCCTCTTGCCAGCTGGAAAGTGACGATAAGTAAAAGTTAACTTTTAGATATGGTGACGAAGGTTTTAAAGATTTGAAAGTATTAGGGAAGTTTGTTTTTGTTTGTTTTTGTTTATTTTTGTTTATTTTTGTTTATTTTTGTTTATTTTTGTTTGTTTTTGGTTTGTTTTTGGTTTGTTTTTGTTTGCTTTTGTCTTTTTGTCCCATGCAAACACCCACGATCCGGTCTCTTTCCCATCATCGCGCACCACTCCCGTCATTCGCTCGATCTCGTCTTCAACCTAAAAACTTTTGATACAAAGTTGATAACTTGAATCAAGTACAGTAAGCTCATTGATGTGTTTTAATAATTGATCAATTGCTAACTCAAAAAACTCACATCGGCCGACAAGTTACACACTTCCAACTGCTCGAATGAGGTGATGAAATCGTCGAAAGATATCCTAAAAATTCTTCTTCTGACTCAAGCGCTTTGAGATTTGTATGAAAATTTCAAAATTAAATTCACAAAACCTATCCTTAAACCATTCGGTCACTCACCAAAACTCGCCATCCGCATTAAAAGCCACTTGCAGCTTCGACTTCTCCGTTTGGTTCACCGAATTCCACAAAGGACTGTTGTCCGACCAGGCGCCGTTCCATTCCTGGAAATGGATGGGAATTGAATGGCTTTATATTTAAAGAATGCTAATCTAGCTTTAAACGGGATCTCCCAGCAATCCACACCTTACTATTCCCCCACGGGTTTCTCACGCGAAGCAGCTCCACATCACCGGACGAGGTTGGCACCTGGAAACGATTTTTTTAGCTTAAAATTGAATAATATAAATCCTCTATTAGACTGACATCCTTTATTAGAGCGAAACTTTAAAAGTGATATCGAAAAATAGCGGCAACCCAAATCAACAAATGAAAAAATTAGCATTACCTATATTTCAGAAATTTCAATTGAATGACTGAATATCTTTTGTTTCCGACTTTGTTTGATTCTGCTTTTTTTAAATTTTTTTTTTTTGCTGACAACTTAATGTGTTTATTTCTTTTTTAACTTTATTCTACATTTATTAATATTTTCTTTTTAGATGATGGAGACGTTAATCAAAGATCGTCAATCGTTAATTGTCAACAGCAAAAACAAGCAACTCGAGCGATCATTGGATGAAATGAGCGATGCTTTTGCGAATTTTCTGATCATCGGGACTGTGAAAAAAGGATTAACCAAGAGCTTCGATGACGATGGAAGTGACGATGGAGGAGATAAGGAAGCGAGAGAAACGACCGGACGAGGAAGGGACGCAAATGAAGCCGAGGATTTGACGAGTGCAAGAGGAGCAAAGCGGCGAGCCTTTCACGCCTTTCACGGCGGCGTGAAATTCAAGCTCGGAGTGTTCGAATACGCCAAGGAGAACTTAAATCAAGAAGCTGCCAAACATTTTCGAGTATCACGATCGTCGATTCAAGATTGGAGAAAACAAGAAGAATTTCGGTACTTGGTGGGCTGCGAGGGGCCACCTATATTTTTGATTTTTTCACCTTTCTGGTCGCCACCTTTCTAGGGGTAATCGAGGGCGTTGAGCACGAATTTAACAGTTTTAGCATGGGTTCTCAACTGAAAAACCGACATTTCGACAGATTGAAAATGACACTTTTTTTGCTTTTTTGCACTTTAAATGTAACTTTAGATTTGTGTACTCAAGCTATCGACTATTGGGGCGCTTTTAAACGTCAAAACTAGAGCCAAAACCATATTTTTAACACTAAATATTCATTTTCTAACTTAAATTGACTGGTAGATGCAAAAAATCTAAAAAAAATACTTTTTTTTTGAGATTTTGACTGATTTTGACATGGTTGAAATTTGGAAAATTTTTTTTTTATTAATTTTGCTCTAATTTGATCAGAAACGTAACCAGTAGCCCTTGACTTGGCTTAAAACGCCTTTTCCTAAATTCTCGTTGTGTTTTTCGGAATCTACGCATGAAATTACCCCAGAAAGAGTGGTTTTGAAGGAAAAAAAATGCCCCCCTCCCTAACCTTAATAGCGCACATATGGGCGACATTTGGCGGATTCATTCAAACAATGCGCAATCACTACAGGACTCGATAAATCGGAAGACCAATCGATAGATCGGAAGACCAGCTCATTTCAAAACAAATGAACCTATCCCGATTGGAGATGAAAAGCTGAAAGATGCACAAATGGATCAAGAAGTTTTGGCTCTTCTTGAAGAACTAGATAACCATCGAAAATGATGTAGCAAGCTTGATTTTGATGCACCATTGGAGTTTATTGATTAGGTAGATACTTTATCATGTTTTTTTTATCTTTGTACATTAGCGGCATACCGGTCTAATAGATGATTTACGATATTTTCTGCTTATTTATCGAAATATAGCTATTGCAAATGATTTATAGCCAAAAGAAACCGTTTGAACAGCAGTGATGCTGTACGCGTGTCCCATGATTAACCCGTTTCTCAGCTGGTTCTCAAAGCTGTTTGGATCGGCCTGAAAAGAGAATCTTACTATTTGCTAATTCAGTAATTCACTATTTGCTATCTCAAAGTCGATTAGATTTTACTTTTGCATCAAACTCACATCAATACTTGCACAGAAGAAAGAGCCCATTTGAAAGCCGCGAACAATCATAGCCATCAACGTGTTCTTGTCGGTTTTTCGCAAATCAAAATGCTCAGTTAGACCACCTGAAATATTTTCGAATACTGACAATGAAATTTAAAATTTGTTTTTGAATCTGTAGCAAATTGACACTGCTCTGCAGTTAGTCAAAATTCAATACACAAGTTAAAATTCAAAGCTGATCGATAAACTGGTCCAGCTTTGAGTAATCAGCCACTAGACGATATTCAGTTGTTCGTTTGTCGTAGCTTGTGTACTTAAAAGCCCATTTAAGCATTATTTAAGCATTATTTAAGCTTTGTTTTGAGTGAGTTGTGAGCCCCTTTTTCTATTCATCCTTTTCACACGCAATTGTTGAAATAATTGTGATAGTGCCAGGTTGCTCCAGTTTAAGCGACGCAAAGTTTACCCTAATAAGGGAAAATTTTGATAAATTATGCGCTTTCAAGACAAGTTTACCCTAATAAGGGAAAGTTTTTGATTGTTGTTGTGCTTTCAATACCATCTACTATTAAATCACACCGAGAAACGGTCTCACAAGAAATTATAAAGATCAAAGTATAAATATTGGGTTGGTGAATTGAAAACTGCGGGATTTTGAACTAAAATGTGATAGTGCCAGGCTGCTCCAGTTTAAGCGAAGCGAAGTTTGCCATAATAAGGGAAAGTTTTTGATTGTTGTTGTGCTTTCAAGACATCTACCATTAAATCACACCGAGACACAAGAAACAAGAAATTATAAAGATTTTAGTCTCACAAGAAATTATAAAGATCAAAGCCTAAATATATATTTCTTACAGAACAGAAAACTTGAACTTTTAAAAGTTACCCGTAAAATCCTCGAGCGCGTCCATCGGAAGTCCACCATCGAGACACTCGTAACAAGTGAACATTCTGGAAAAGAAAGCTCAATAAGTATGCCAGAAAACAAGCGTTTACAAGAATTTTACATGGTAAATCAATAGAGATTAAATTGATTATATTCTATCGATTCTATTCTATCGATTCTATTCGATAGATTCTATTCTATCAATTCTATTCTATCAATTCTATTCTCTCAATTCTATTCTATAGATTCTATTCTATCAATTCAATTCTATCAATTCAATTCTATCAATTCTATTCTATCAATTCTATTCTATCAATTCTATCTATTCTTAATTCTATCAATTCTATTCTATCAATTCTATTCTATCAATTCTATTCTATCAATTCTATTCTATCAATTCTATTCTATCAATTCTATTCTCTCAATTCTATTCTATAGATTCTATTCTATCAATTCAATTCTATCAATTCAATTCTATCAATTCTATTCTATCAATTCTATTCTATCAATTCTATTCTATAGATTCAATTCTCTCAATTCTATTCTATCAATTCTATTCTATCAATTCTATTCTATCAATTCTATTCTATCAATTCTATTCTATCAATTCTATTCTATCAATTCTATTCTATCAATTCTATTCTATCAATTCTATTCTATAGATTCAATTCTCTCAATTCTATTCTATCAATTCTATTCTATCAATTCTATTCTATCAATTCTATTCTATCAATTCTATTCTTGATTCAATTCTCAATTCATTCTATCAATTCTATTCTATCAGTTCTATTCTATCGAATCTATTCTAACTTCGATTCTCTAAGCTATCTCAACAAGAGCACTCCAGAATTCGTTTTTTGACGCCGATCGCATGTAAATCAATTTCCCGTTGATCGTTGGAAGACTAAAAAGGAAGATTTCTAATAGAAATTAGCCTAACTATAGATATCACAAGTATTTCAGAGCCAAGAGACAAGAACTCGAAGTACTCTAAGTATACAAGAACTCGAAGTACTCGAGGTACTCTAAGTATACAAGAACTCACTGGGTTTTCCCCATTGAATGTCAAATAAGAGATTTGAATTATTTACCCATACTTTACACTTTGCCCATTTTACAATACAATTCGAATTCCCCCTACCGATCGTCGATGACCACATCGACCCATTTCCCGTAGCGCCAAAAACGGAAATGGAAAATCCCCGCGTAATTCTCGGTAAAACTCTGATCGGGTGGGACAACGCGGAAGAAAAGTTCGTCACTAAAAGGGTTAAATGAATGGATTATTGCATTATTGCCTCTTCCCCTCACCGAAGTGTCAAATTCGCGATTGCGGCTAGTAGCCAACAATCACCGAGTTGTCCTTGACAAACATCGAAACGACTCTCACCATCAACGAGAAAACATGGATCTTGGATAATATCCTGGAAACAGCTCAAGATTTGATGTTATCAGAGTTATCGACTTAGTTGAATCGATTGGATACAACGATCTCTTTCTCTGTAAGTCTCAATACAAATAACAGGTTCCTTTGGGTTTTAACAGTTGTTTAGAAACATTCATTTCTCATTTGATATTATCAAATATCAAATGTTATCAAATCCACTTGCTTAACAAGGTAACTAACGATATAAAACATTGTACTTACACTTGGTCGATACTGATTTGTAGCTAACGATATGGGCTTGATATATACATGTGGTCGAAGCCATTTCACCACGGCCCGGATGGCGATTTGTCTAGCAATAGAGACTTTTCGACTCGGCTGGGAACTCTGGATCTTCGAAAAGTGTTTTCGATTCGATACAACGATCTCTTTCTCTGTAAAGTCGAAAATACCCCAACAAGTTTACTTTGGGTTTTGCTGGATGTTCGGAAGTATTCAATTCCCAGCGGGACCGTGCTGACAGAATCCAATCCCAGCGATTCGACGCCGGTCCTGCTTGAATCATGGCTTTGAATGAAGGGTTCAACCCTGGAAAATGCTTTACTTTTAGAAATTTTCATATTTTACAATAATAGATATTTAACTATCTAAATCTAAACCTAGATACCTTTTGATCTTCTCCACTCAAAATCTTATCAGAGCCCAACTTTCCCGACGTCACTGATCTTGTTGTGGCGACCACCCTGAAAGTTTTTGATTCAAATTTACCAACAAAAAGAAATTTGAACTTTTTTTTTGAAATAAAAGTTATTTTTCACATAAAGTTGTTTGTTTGTTTGTTGGTTGGTTTGATTGTTTGTTTGTTTGATTGTTAGTTTGTTGTTTGATTGTTTGTTTGTTGTTTGATTGATTGTTTGTTTATTGATTGTTGTTGTTTGTTTGTTTGTTTGTTTGTTTGTTTGTTGTTTGTTTGTTGTTTGATTGTTGGTTTGTTTTGTTTGATTGTTGGTTTGTTTGTTTGTTTGTTTGTTTTGTTTGTTTGATTGTTTGTTTGATTGTTTGATTGTTTGTTTATTTGATTGTTTCTTTGTTTCTTTGTTATTGTTAATTCTTAATTGTTTTTTGAAGGGATTGTGGTTGGAATTTTTGAAATTTCCTGAGCTTATAAAATCTTGTTTCCATCAACGGCTCCATCGATTCGACCTGTGTCTTTGTCGATCTTGTTAAAATGAAATCGGAAGTTGATCTTTCATTTGCTATAAGATGGAAATGGGTTTGGCTTGGAATTCTAGGTTCGAATTTTTCATTTCTAGTTCACAAAGACAGAACTTGAAATCTATCAAAACTAGACCTAATCTGATTTTTCTTTAGAATCATTTATAGAATAATCATCTTTAGTAAATGGTGATGCTTTTTGATGATCACATTTCCAATCCTTATTTCCCGAAATGACGATGACGACGCCGGTGATGACGGAGATCCAGAAAAGAGATTGCGAATGACAGAGCCACTTAGAAATGGGGGTAATATGGTGTTAAGCCAGGAGAATAGTAGGTTGATTATCTTTTTGAGCTTTGTCTCTATGAATATACTCGATCCTCGTGTCGACTCCGAGCTAAACTGATGTTACTATTGTTATTCTTGAAGGATTGTTCTCCCCTGTGCTTATCACTTTCATCGAGAAAGGGCAGCTTGGGAGGTTGCCTACCCGAACCAGTGAGGCTAGCCCCAAGTTCCCCTTTGAGTTAAGTTAAAGAGTGGACTCACTAGATACATCCCTACCATCTCTAACACCTCGACAACCCGATTCAACTCCTGCAACGTATTCTAGGAAGTCTGTGAAATATTCGCGCTGAATTGGAGTTCTAGTTGCAGTTGTAGTTGCAGCTGCAGTTGTAGCTGCAGTTCAGGTTGATCCCCCATTTCCCCTTGTCTCATTTGCTTAATCTGTTGTCTTATCGTACTACTGGCAAATAAGGTTTTAGGATCTCCCCAGCTGCGGTTTGGGTCGATGATTTCCCCGCTGACCATCCTCTAATACGTTGGAGGAGTTGGGTCAAGTTGTCCGGGTGTATTTAGAGATGGCATATCCAAGGGATCCTCTCTTTAACTACCCAAGTCCTGATCCATATCCGTTTACTCCACGGGCTGGGCAATGATAATGCTCTCTTTAGCGCCTTTGGCTTTTAACTCACGTCTTTTTTGTTTTATCAATCCAGTGTTTAAAATGCCGAATGTCATTCTTTTCCGAGCCACCAAAACCATCCCCCCCATCTGAATCAAATTCATTGAACTTTGAATGTTTATTGATTTTTGAACTTTTTGCTGAAATCAATTATTAATTTAAATGCTAAACCCATAAATTTGAAGGCTATTGTAGATTTTAGAGCTTCTGTGTGCTTCTGAGAGTTTAAGAGCTTTCGGTATGGAGTTTGAAACATCTGTCGGGATTTCGATCTTCTGTATAGAATTTAGAGCTTCTGTGTGATTTTTTGAGCTTCTGTTTAGAATTTTAGGTCTTTTGTATAGATTTCTGGTCTTCGACCCCGAATTTAGTCTTCTTCTTTTCTTTTAGAGCTACTGTAGTATTTAGATATTTCTAAACTCCCAACTGCACTGACACCGCGTTGATGGCATGAATTTCTAATGAAATCTTCCTTGTGTCCGATCTATTAATAATGGTCGATGAATGACCCAAATCTTTTGCCAAATGATCTCCATTTCTCGTTTATTTCCAATTGAGACATTTGAATAATGAGTATCTTTTGGAGTTTATGCATTTCCTTTAAGAAAAAGAATTCTTTTTGAAAAGAAATTGAAACTTTTTAGAAAAATGTTTTGTAGATTTTAAGGCTAAATTTATAAACAAATCTTTTCTCAAATCCACTAAAATTACTTTTTCTTTTGTGAAATTGAATCTTTAATGCAGAAGAATTCCGAAGAAGTGGAAAAGTGGAGAAAATTGATGAAAATTGAAGAAGAAGTGGAGAAAATTGATGAAGAATTGAAGAAGAATTGAGGAATTCAGTGCAATAGAATGCACTAAATGGTACTTGTCGGTTCTACATCCACAGAGAATCTACTTAGAATCTATAGAACTCAACTCGGTTTAAGCAAAAATTGACAACGTATTTGGGGTGATGATGTTCTCGAATGGTGTTGGTTGTGAAAATTGAGTGCTCGTCTGAAGTGTGACCAGTCGATCGGTTGAACGAAATCGATAACCCAGAAACTCGGATGGGGTTGCTTCACCGAAGTGAATCTTTGTGGACATCCACAAAAGAATCATCGGCGACAAATGGCAAAGTGTTTAAGTTTTACACTAGTTACAACGCTAGGTTACAAGCTCAACATAGCCGCTTTTTATCGCGAACTCCCCGAAAATATTACGCAAGAGAAGAGAAAAAGGACAAAGAAATTACATAATAGCTTTTGGAAAGTGATGAAGTGAGAAATTTGATTGGATGGGGCTGCCTCACTGCCTCTTTTTGGATGTATAAGGTACTGAAAGTGTTTACAACTTTTTGACACTAAAGGTTACTAGTTAGTTTAAATCTCAACTCGTGCAAGCTCCAACTATTGCAAGCTCAACTATTGCAAGCTCAACTATTGCAAGCTCAACTAGTTTACAAGCTCAGCCTATTGCAAAGCTCAAATATTGCAAACTCAACCCCCCAAGCTCAACTATTACCAAGCTCAACTATTACAAGCTCAACTCGTGCAAAATATAAACTATTGCCTGGCGCTCAACTATTGCAAGCTCAACTATTGCAAACTCAGCTATTGCAAGCTCAAATATTGCAAACTCAACTAGTTTACAAACTCAACTTATAACCACTTTTTATCCTCAGAATACTGAAAATATGCTTGAAAAGATGAGTGGAATGAAAATCAATAACCCAGAAGACTCGGATGGGGCTGCTTCACCGAGATGAGTCTTTGTGGATGTACTCGCTCGATAAGTAGCGAGATCTTTACAAACTAGTTGAAAGCTCTATTTTTATGTACTTTTTTGATTTCAAAGAATACAAAAATATTACATAAAAAAAAGAAAAGGACAAGAAAATTACATGGAAATATTTTTGTGAAAGGCACAAAAATAGATTAATCCTTGAAAATGAAAGAAAAGAAAAGAGGAAAAAGAAAAAAGAAAAGAAAAAAGGAAAAAGAAGAAGAAAACTGAATCAATTTCTAATTTACAATTCTTTTCTACACTCAATTTTAGGAGTTCTCTTTTCAGGGTGCCTATTTTATTTAGCCTAGTGTGTACACAACGCAGTCTAGAATATGAAATTTTGAGTTTTCTTTTTTGTCTAAAACAGAAATTTCTTTCGATTCTTTAGAAGATTGTTTTCGAAATAGAGTTTACTCAAAAGTAGACTTCAGGCTCAAAAACTTAAGCAAAAGTAAAACTACCCAACCAAAACCATAACAAAACCAAAAACAAACCAAAACAAAACCAAAATTAACCAAAACTCACTGGAATATCTCATGACTGGGAGAAACTTCACTTGAAAATCTGTTTGCAGATTTGAAATCAGCATCAAAAATCTATCCCATAGGCTATTTTTTATTTCCAGAAATTTCGCGATCTTGTTTTGGTCCTTTTTTCAACCGCGAGATTTTGTGGAGTGGCCCGTAGAAAGGCTAATTTGCATTTTACATTAAAATTTGCATTTTTCAATTCTCCTAGAATTACATGTTAATTTATATGCAAATTGAGTTTTGGTTTGTTTTAGTTTTAGTGTTTTCTTACTGAATCTGTTTTAGTGTTTTAGTTTTAGTTTTGGTCTGTTTTAGTCTGTTTTGGTCTGTTTTTGGTTTTGGTTTTGTTTGCCGAAGTCTACTCAAAGTATACAGAAATTTTCTTATTTTAACATAAAAAATTATATTATTAAGGTTAAAATCGATAAAAAGGATTAACAATATAGAGTGGCTAGTTTTTGCAGCTTTTTTTTCCCGCAACAAGGGTTATTTTGCGCGGCTTCGGTCCCATGCGCAACTGGGTCATTTGCAAGGGTCGTTTGCGCAACTCACCTTAACCCCCCACCTAAGTGGATCAATCTTTACAGTTTTAGTTTCATTTTGTTGCACTTATTGAGATCTCCAAAATGAAACCAACATCATAAAAAGATTGATCCCTTAGAAAAAAAGTTATGGTGTTTTGCGCAAACGACCCAGCAAATGACCCAGTTACTCAAAAGGACCAATTGCTTAAAAAAAGGTTACTGAAGCAGCTTATCCTCTAATACTCAGCTTTCCTTTTTAAAGTAGAAATTGATAAATGAAAATTTGAAGTTAAAAATGGTACAGCTTTTCTTTTCCCCCAAAATACCGACTGGGGCTTACCAGTGGTGAATTTATCGCATACACGAAATATAATAATCACAATAAAACGACACACACAATACTAGACTACATAAGCCAGCCAACCCCACGTCATGACGGACGTTCCCTAACCCTAAGCTCAATGGGGAACTAAATATGAAAACTTTTTTTTGGTGAAGAATGGCAGTAGAAGAGTGGCTTGTCACTTTAAAGAACTGAGTTGATTGGGGGGGACTGCCCTCCCGAAACCTCTCAACCCCGAGGAAAGAGGAAATCCCGGAGGGGTGACCATGTCGCATGTGGGGTTCGAACCTCGACGCTCCCGATCAGATAAAAGACACTTAACCAGTCAGCCCACGTTAGCCGATTAGATAAAGTGAATTAGAAAAGTGGGAGTGATTTTGACTTTAAAAAAGTGTTTAGTTGTTAAGAAAAATTGAAAAAAGAGGTAAAAGTGGAGGACAGCTGAATTAAGAGCTGAGGAGCAAAAGAAAAATCGAAAAAACAGCTGGCTAGAGGCGTTTTTTCTCCCCCCCCCCCCCCCCCCGACCTTTCTTTCTTTGAGAGGAAGAAAATTAATGGAAACGAGGAGATTTTGGAAAAAAAAGAATCCTTTTCATTTTGATTTTTTTTTTTAATCTGCTCTTTACGAAATTGGATTTAAAATGCAAGTGGTCTTTTTAGGGGTGAGCTAGTTTCCGCAACTTTTTTTCCCATAGGGTCACTTTACTGCCACCAGGGTCCACTTACTTACACCAGGGTCACTTGCGCTTTTCGGGTCTTTGCGCACCAAGGGTCACTTGCGCACCAGGGTCACTCCCGCACCAGGTCCCTTGCGCACCAGGGTCCTTGCGCACCAGGGTCACGCCAGGGCCATTGCGCAACTGGGTCATTGCGCAACTGGGTCATTTGCACCAACTTCTGGTCATTTCATTTTCATTTTGTTGCATTAATGAATCCCTGAACCCCTCTTTTTAGCATAAAAACACTTTGTTTCTTGTTTAGAAATATTGAAATGAATTAAAATAGATTAAAATGAATTGGAAATTAATTAAAATGAATTAAATAAATTAAAATGAATTAAAAATTAATTAAAATGATTAAAATGAATTAAAAGTAATTAAATTAAAATAATTCTTAAAAGTGAAACTCTTTCCATTAAAATTATTGCATTTTATTTGAAAACAAACCTTTAATAAACATTTAATATCTTCTCTTTTCGCTTTTCCCATGATTTGTTTCCCGGTTTTGAAATGCGATTTTGTCATAAAGTCGATCTTTTTGAGGGTAGAGAATGATTCGTGATTTTGTCGGCAGGACATCATCGTCTGAATTGCTTGTTTGGACTCGGGTGGCAAAAGCAAAGGGAAAGTGGTCGCGAGGTCGATTCTCAGGTACTTTATGGGAGGTTAAGGATTTATGGTTTGTAACCACGTCAGATCAAGCGGATCGACATGATTTTTAAAACATTTGACACAGCTGCCCTTTTCCCATTAGCAATCCAACTTTGAATAAATTTCTTGGTCCCAGCTGTTCAATAGTATCAATTTTGTACCAATCGATAGAGAAAGACTTGGCGCATCGAATGATACCAAGAACGTTTAGAATTGGACAGCAAAAACACCAAGATATTTGAGCTAAAAGTCAGATTGCTAATGGAAAGGGGCAGATTGCTATGGAAAGGGCGTATCAAAAATTCATGGGACAGCAAAACTGGATCGCCCTTGGATCCCATTTGCCCCCACCATCTTGCCATTGGCAATCCTAACTTTGAACTCAAATTTCTTGGTTGGCTGACAAATGATATCAATTTTGGCCTGCCAATCGATAGAAGACTTGGCAGATGAATGATATAAAGAATATTGAAGTGGACAACCCAAAGACAAAGAGGTGAGCTTAAGACCAGATTGTTAATCAAAAGTGGAGTAACGATAACCAGCCTAGAAGAACCCTGCTTTCTGGCTCTCGGCTATTTTCCAAAGCTCAGTACACCAGAAAGAGTGTGTTTTTGTGGTTTCTAAACATAAAGTACACTTTGAAAATTTTTTGTAAGCCTAGATTCAATTGTATCCAAAGCCAGCTTTGGGTACAGTGAACAGTGTTTTTCAACAGTTTTGAAGGCATTTTTGTCAAGTTTTGACTTAACAATGATAGATTCTGCTATTAAAACACAACTTTCCATAGTTAATAAACAAGGAATTGTTTCAAGGAGTGTTGAGAATAATCCCCCCGAAGAGAGCAATCAAGAGAGTTTCTTTTCCAAAAGCCCCAATGAATGGAATGGCCGCCTTAGCATCGGCCTGGATTCCCGTTTTGTTGATTGGATCTAAAGTGAGAAATTTCCACTTTAAGAAAACTTCATTTTGCTAAAAATATCTATGAATTTGTCATTTAAAAGCATGCGATTTTGTGCTTAAATCGGTCAGAATCCAAATCCAGAACTGATTCCTGACAGACCAGAGACCAGGAACAGGACTTGTGCTTAAATCAGGTCAGAATCCAAATCCAGAACTGATTCCTGACAGACCAGAGGCCAGGAACAGGACTTGCAACAAAGCCAAAAGATTTCTGGCCAAGTTTGAGAAATTTCCACTGAAAAACTTCATTTTCCACAAAAATATCTTGTAATTTGTCATTCAAAGCATGCAATTTTACTTTTAAAAGTTTAAAAAAAGTGCGCTTGTTTAGAGAAAAGAAATGAAAAGAAAAAAAAGAGAAAAAATCGGTGCTGAACTCAGAGCATGCGTTTTTTTGACGAGAAAAACCGTAAAATGATAAAATAACTAGTAAAATGACTGTATAAATAAGGTAAAACAATGAGTTTTCTATTAATTTACACCACATTTTACAGCTTTTCAAAACGGCAGGCAAAAAGTGAGGGAAATATTTGCATTTTTTCTTGCTTAACCAAAAAGGTACTCTTGGCGGCGATGCGACCCCTTTGGGAAACAGCTGCACAATGAGAAGAGTCCTCGTTGTCTGCAAATGGAAGAAAAGAATAGTTATTTATTATATTTATCTCTTTATCTCTTTATTTCCCATTTTTCCCCTACTTTTGTTGCTCTTTTCCCTCGTAGTCCAACTCTTGAATGTTCTCTCGATTCTGTTGCCGTCGCTTGATTCGTTTCACGTCCTCTTCCGTGAAGTTCATCGGATCTGAAACGGGAAGATCATCGGGAAGATCTTCGGGAAGATCATCGGAAAGATCTTCGGAAAGATCTTCGGAAAGATAATTCCTAGGCTAGGACTGAACTTGGCTTGATTTCTGACTAAGATTTATAATCAACGTCAAGACCAGAGACATCCCAGAATCTCAGGTCCAAACCTAGTTTTTGAATGGAAAGCCCGAAAAGCCAGACTCCAGAACTTGGCTTCTGATTCTGGCTCTAGCTTTTGGCTTAGTGCTTAAACCAGGCCAGAATCCAGATCCAGAACTGATTCCTGACAGACCAGAGACCAGGAAGAGGGCTTGCAACAAAGCCAAAAGATTTCTGGCCAAGATTTCTTATCAAAACCAAACCAAGACCAGAAGCCAGGCCTTGATTTAGTCGAAGCCTCTAGCTCTGGATTCCAGTTTTAAATCCATTCATTCCTGATACTTGCAGCCAAATCCAGTGCTCAGTTAGAGGCTTGGATACTTGTTCTAAAGCTATTTCTAAAGCTGGTTCTAAAGCTGGTTCTAAAGCTAGTTCTAAAGCTATTTCTAAAACTGGTTCTAAAGCTGGTTTTAAAGCCATTTCTAAAGCTAGTTCTAAAGCCATTTCTAAAGCTATTTCGAAAGCTATTTCTAAAGCTAGTTCTAAAGCTAGTTCTAGAACTGGTTCTAAAGCTGGTTCTAAAGCTAGTTCTAAAACTGGTTCTAAAGCTAGTTCTAAAGTTAGTTCTAGAACTGGTAGCATTTAAAAATCAAGCTCAAAACCACGGACCATCATCAGGCTCTAAATCCCCATGATGAAAGCATATCTCGGTGTGATGAGACATCTAAATACGAAAAATCATATAAAATTTGAAAAAAAAACGAAATTTGACCCATGAAAAGAATAGAATCCCAATGGGATCCAATTTACGCTCTTTGCAATGAGCGAATGAAGCCATTTGATGGCAAAAAAGAGCTGAGTTTCTTTTTTGGCAGAAAAACAAAAAAGTCGATTCGTTCTAATGAAACAAGCGAGGAAAGGGAAAAGGAAAAAAAAGAAAAAAAGAAAAGAAAAGGGAATAGGCTCATTTTTGTTGTATTTTAAGCTAGTCGTAGCTCAAATTTCGACCTCAAATCCCCTATTCTAGTGATTCTAGCGACCCAGTGATTTTTGTGAGAAGCTGAGTAAATCATTGAGCTAGATAGAGTGTGTTCCCAGCTCTAGTCAGCCTCTTTCACTTGACAAGTCTAGCCATACGTTGTGTACTTTGTGCTCATTCTTTCACTCAGAAACGCACCTCTTCTGGTGCATTTGAGTGTCGATTTTAACTAGTAAAACTCAAGTGATTATTGTACGCAAAAAATGTGCAAGTGCGCTTTTGATTTTTCAAAAATTTGAACCACAAAGCTCACCCTGTCAATCACTAAACGGAAAACGATTAAAATAAAATGCCCATAAGTTTTATGAGCTTAATTTGTTTCCTCTTTTTTTTTCAAAGGATTCTTATCAATTTATTGAGTATGAGTCAGTCATTTCTCTTGTGAAGTTTACTTTCGCTTTTTTTCCTTTCAAATTTTGAAATACCGGATTTTCTCTAATAGTAGTGAGCGTCGCCTAAATTCATCGTAATCTCGAGAACCGCTTATCAGAACCTATCGATGTGAGGTCGGAAAATGTAGCTGACGATGAGATCTAGTGGGGGATTTGAGGGTTGAGCTTCTGGGGAAGCTTGGGAACCGTAAAATGGCCACCAACTCGGCACCCGGCTCGCCCGGGTGCACTACTATTAGAGAAAATCCGGGATTGGCCAGATGGCCGTCCGGTTCATAGCGCATAAGACCTTCCCCCAAGATGACAACAAGCTTTATTAGATCATTAGAGGCGTCAAGTCTTTGCCTAGCTGACGATGAGATCTAGTGGGGGATTAGAGGGTTGAGCTTCTGCAAAAGCTTGGAAACCGTCAAATAGTCATCAATTCGGCTGGATGCACTACTATTATAGAAAATGCGGTATTGTCCAGATAGCCGTCCGGTTAGGAATCTTGTCTCTTACGCGAAAGGTCGAGGTTTCAAAAACGCTGGCAAGATAAAAATGTTTCTTTTTTGCAACGAAGTGCGTTTTTATTGTCCTTCTTTATAAAAACTTGATAGTGAAGGGTTTGTTTTTCAGAATCTCTTCCATAGTTCACTAACGAGGACTGTATTATGTACACTTGAATGTTTTCTTCTTTCACAACATTATAATAGGGGTAACGACGGCCATAATTCCATAAAATTGTATGTTTAAACCTTTATTTCTTATTATGTTTACTTTTTGCTCGGCTCGCCAACCTAATAGTGAACGGTTTTTTTTCAGAATCCCTTCCATAGTTCACTAACGAGGTTCGACTGTAAATCTAATAGTAGTGCTATCAGGGATTGATCAGGTATTGATAAGGTATTGATAAGGTATTGATAAGGTATTGATAAGGTATTGATAAGGGATTGAACAGGTATTGATCAGGTATTGATAAAGTATTGATTATCTGGGGTTATTTAGCAGTCCGGTTAGGAATCTTTTCTCTTACGCGAACCTAATAGTAGTACTGAGTCAGTCATTTCTCTTGTGAAGTTAGCTTTTACATTTTTTTTCCTTTAAAATTTTGAAATACCGGATTTTCTCTCATAGTAGTGCACCCTGAGCGTCGCCTAAATTCCTCGTAGTGCTACTATTAGGTTTACATTGCACAAGTTTACATAAAAAAATTGGTTTTAAAGATAAAAAAAGCTCGAAAAGAATTGGGAATTTTGAAAGAAATATTCAAAAAGAAGAATTTCATGACTTTTATTTGAGAATTGATTAAAAACTTTTGACAATATGGTTTAGGAATATTGTTTGATACAAAAGTTTTGATTGGTAAACGTTACGGAATTGAGTCTGAAGCTGGGAGATGATCAGATTGCCCCACTTTAGTGAAAGAGTGATCAGAGGCTAACCCACTCAGAAAGCAGATAATCCTTGCGAATCATTGCATAGTTAATGCTTCGAAATTTGCAACTTGTTTAGGTGTTGTATAGTGAAAGAGTGAAAGAGCCATTCACGATTTGATCTGAATCAGAAAAACTGAATTAGAATCAGAAAAAGTGAATTAGAATCTGAATTAGAATCTGAATTAGGATGTTCAAATGAATTTGGGGAATTGGAATAGATGAAATAGATGAAATAGATGAAAGAAAAGATGAAAACTAAATGATTTCCGTTAGATTAAATGCCTTAGATCATGAAAAGATGAACAAAATCGATCTCGAAAAAGCGATTCAAGTAAAATAACGAAAAATATCGTAAAAGAGAGTAACTCTCCTCTCAAATCCCAACTTGGTCACCGGTTTTTTTGACCTTGAGCCATCTTTTTCTTTCAAAAGAAAAAGGATCTTTTTCTGTCAAAAAAACGATCTTTTTTCTGTCAAAAAACAGAACAGATCAGAAAAACAATGGGAACTCAGGGTTATTTGGGATTTAGATGATCGAGAATTTAACCAGAGATTCGATTGGGAACCTAGAGTGATCAGGGATTGAACAGGGATTGAGCAGGGATTGATCAGGGATTGATCAGGAATTGAACAGGGATTGATCAGGGATTGAACAGGGATTGAACAGGGATTGATCAGGGATTGATCAGGCATTGAACAGGTATTGATCAGGGATTGAACAGGAATTGAACAGGGATTGATCAGGGATTGATCAGGGATTGATTATCTGGGGTTATTTAGCCGTCCGGTTAGGAATCTTGTCTCTTACGCGAAAGGTCGAGGCTTCAAACACGCTGGCAAGATCAAAAATGTTTCTTTTTTTGCCCACGAAGTGCGTTTTTTTCTTTCACAACTTTTGAGTGATAGGCGTAATAAGGGTAACGACGGTCGTAATGCCATAACGTAATGCTATAAGTAATGCCATAACGTAATGCTACAACGTAATGCCATAACGTATAGCCATAACATAATGCCATAACGTAATGCTATAACGTACTGCCATCACGTAATGCCATAACGTAATGCTATAACGTAATGCCATAACGTATAGCCATAACGTAATGCCATAACGCACTGCCATCACGTAATGCCATAACGTAATGCTACAACGTAATGCCATAACGTATAGCCATAACGTACTGCCATAACGTAATGCTATAACGTAATGCCATAACCATGCCATAACATAATGCCATAACGTAATGCTTTAACGTAATGCTATAACATAATGCTATAACGTAATGCCATAACCATGCCATAACGTAATGCCATAACGACGGTCGTAATGCCAAATTGTATGTTTAGACCATTGAACCAAGTGAACCAGTCCGAGACACTCGGTTCCTCATTTGCGTTGATTATCTGGGGTTATTTAGCTGTTAGTTATTAGAAAAATTTAGTTATTAGAAATCTAATCTTTCGATTTTAACATTACTTTGTTCCAGATAAGAGTAAAAGATTTGAAAAATAGAAAAGCTGATCAAATACCTCATCAACAAGCTAGAATTTACTGTAGTTGTTGGGAAATTTTAAAATAAGCTACAAAAGTAGTGTTATACTACTTACTTTTTCCAGATAGAAGAGTAAAGGATTTGAAAAATTTGAAAAATAGAAAGCCCGATCATTTCAGGATCAATCGAAAAGTTAAAAGATTGTAAATGATTTAAAAATTTGGCCATTAAGCGTTTTTTTAAGTCAATGAGTCAAAAAAAGTGATTCTTATCTGGGGAACTCTTTTTTGAGCGTTGGGAAATTTTTTGGTGACTTTGACTAAGCAAAACAAGCCTTTTTTACTCCTTTTTCCTTTTCCTTGATAAAATATGCAAAGAGTTTCTTTTTTTCTGCTTTTCATCGTTACCTAAACATTGGAAATTGAAAGGTTTCAAGGAAATGATTTGAAAGAAATAGATTATTGCTTTGAGGTTTTGAAAGATTTGAGGAATTTGAAAGAATTTGATTTGAAGAAAATTTGACCATTCATTTTGAGCCTGAGCCTAAGCCAAAGCCTGAGCCTAAGCCTAAGCCTGAGCCTGAGCCTGAGCCTAAGCATAAGCCTGAGCCTGAGCCTAAGCCTGAGCCTGAGCCTGAGCCTAAGCCTAAGCCTGAGCCTGAGCCTAAGCCTGAGCCTGAGCCTGAGCCTGAGCCTGAGCCTAAGCCTAAGCCTGAGCCTGTTTAGCTCAGGATTACAGATCAACAACGGTTACGGGGTCGAGTATTTGAAAATTTGAAAGATTTGAAGGTTTTGAAAGATCTTGAAGAATTCAGTGCACCAGAAAGGATTCCTTTTTGAGAGGAGGCTAAAGTTTAAAAAATGTTATTCATTTTTGAGGTACTTGACATTTCAGGTCAAGAAAGGAATGGAAAGCAATTAAGAGAGTTGGAAGAAGTGGAAAGGAAGAGGAGGAGGAGAGGAAGAGAAGAGAAGAGGAAGAGAAGAGGAAGAGAAGGGGAAGAAGTTTATGGATTAAGGAAAGAACTTTTAGATAAGAAATGGACAAGAACAAGGACAAGAAAGGATAAGGAAAGGGATAAGGATAAGGAAAAGACAAAATAAGGCCAGGAATTGGTAAGGAAAGAAGATTTTAACCATTTTAACCATTTAGTCAGTTTAGTTTTCTTCAAAAAGTCGTTTAGCTCAGGTGCGAAATGAATCAGAAAAAAGAGTGGTGAAAGAGTCGATTTTTCCAATAAAAGTCAGTGCTAGTTGCAGAAAAAGAATGAATTGGTCGATCCGATAAAAACAGGCGCGTCGGGGAAAGGGATCACTATGAGAGTTTAGGGCCTTTGACCCCCTCTTCACCTCTTTCCTTTTATCTAACTTTCCTCCATTCCCTCT